TGTAGTGATTCTATACTTGGCTCTCTGTTCTCAGGATTGTGTCGAATAGGCTCAGAGGTATTAATGGGCAATACATGAAAAATGCCCTTAAGACATTTCTGGAAATATGTAAAATATTTTCCTTTGGTGAATGCTTGTTTCTGGAAATATCACCAGACTGTGATATTGACTGGAAGGTGCAAGAGAGAGAGAACATCATTATAAATTTCTCTGAATGAAAGTTTCATCTCAAAGCAGGAAATGATTATGGTACGTGAATAATCTTGAGATAAATCAGTTTTATGCAATGAACCAAAATTAGGGTGGTGGTGCATGTTAGCTAGTTTTTTACACTTTGTTTTAATTAAGGTCTGATTACCATGGCTGCTACTCATTTACCTAATAACAGTGATTTGGTATATCAAAATAAGAGAACCCCAGGACTGGAACTCTAGGGCCTGGGTGTGAGGGGAGCATGTCATGGTAACCTCCTGTGCACAGACTATAATTGCTGTAGGATTTTTCCTAAAGCCCCATGAAATTCATGGCAAAGAGAGCATTGTGTTGAGCTATGGAATAAGAAGCAGCTGTCTAGTAATGCCTCCAAATAGGCCAGTATAAGCTTCTGCATTATCCTGCTGTGACAAAGAAATTCTTTACCAAAATCTCCCCTCGCTTGTTACATCTCTAAAACATTCCTTGTTTCCCCTGGAGCAAGCACTGTGATCTAATTGAAATGAGAACACTCAGAATTACCTTTCTTTCTGTACAGTGAAAGTTTATTTCTGTGTTCTTTCATTTGAATGGACATAAGATTTGTAATAGGTTTTTCTGGGTTGATGGGCCCTTTAGGCTCACCTACAAGGCAGCTCTAGATTGGGCCAGTGTTACAAGTGCAAAGAGAATAACTTGCTGATTATAGCACATGGAAAGTTCTGTCTAATGAAACTATTTACACTGGACTATCCCAAACATTTCTTCATTTTTTCTCTCCCTAAATGCCATTCCAGTTATTCTTCACCCTTCACCCTTGGCCATCCTGAGCTCTGGTGCCTAAATCCCAAACTGTGCATAGGTATGTCCTCCATATCAGGCAAGTTTTGATAAATCCAAACAAAAAGTTTCAAGAAGAATTCTTCTGGTTTTAGAGCATATGTTGTATTATGGCAATGCTTGCAATAGGACATGTATTGTGCCTGTCCCATCATCAGCTCCAAGGCAGTTGCTTCCCCCTGAGTTGCCATTATGAGCTTTATCTGACCCTGACTTCTTGGCTAAAGCTGATTGGGGTAGGGGCCAGCAACAACCCCAAATCATCCATCAATAATGGGGGTCTGGTGAATCTCAAATTTTTTAAATCTGGAAGAGCTGCTATTTGTGGCATCTTTCTACAACCTCTGTATTGGGGTGGAAATTAGAATGGCTGGATTCTGAATGATGAGGTACTATTGTTCAATTCCTCAGTTAAGATCTGGTACCATGGCTATTTGTTTTCCTACATTTTCTAAACATTTTCTGCATATTTACAATAAACCACAGTATCTGAAAAAAGAAAAAACAACTTTTTTTGGGCTATCTAAAGAAAACTATCTTGGTTCCTTGTAACCTCATGAAATCTAACAAGACAGAGTATACATAAATGCCATGCAGGCAGGGATGACATCTATTTGTTTACCACTGTATACACATGGCTTAGACTATAGTAGGGAGCTCAATCAATATACATTAAATGAATAAAATCTTGGCAGTAGCTTCTAAATTTTTTTATATGACTCCTTTAATGTTTCAGAAAAAAGAAAATTTATCCTCTGGATAAAACGAAGACCTGGAGACATGGCACAGCTGACAGTGGATGCAGGATACCTTTCAGACACCTGGGGCATTGAAAGAAAATCTACGTACTAATAAGCCGGACAGTCTGCCCCTACACCTGCTCAGTTCCTAGACTTCAGGCTCATACCACCTGTCAGGATAGTGGATTTCTTCTTTGTAGGAATCATCCTAAAGGGAAAGTTCCTGCAGATGCTGATGTTGGTGAAATACCAATGATACACTCTATTTTCTAAGAAATCAACTCACAATGAAGCTCAGCAATTGGAAAGTTTCACCACACATATCAAGTTTCAAAAGATAAGCGATTCACTCTAAAATATTAAGGACCACCAGACATTAGAGGAAAGCCACCAACATGAAAAGACAAAGTAAAAAACAAACAAGATCAGAAACAAGGAAAATGGAAGAATACATTACATAAAGAAAACAAAATCAAAATTATGTAATAATAGAAATATTATCTTCTGATAAGAGAAGATATCGAGTCATGAAACAAGAACAGGTGTTATAGAAAAGAAACAAGATTTTTTAAGACAATGGAAAAGTTTGTAAAAATTGAGGAAATCTTACAGACAGTAGAATCTAAAACAAAGAAAACAGAAAATGAATAAGAAATGAAATGAAAATTAGAGCATAATCCAGGAAGTCTAGTATCTAATTAATAGATAGAAAGAAATAGAACAGAGGAATAGAAATAGAAAGAAAGAATAGAGGAAACAAAGGGGAGAGAATTACTAAAAAAATAATTCAAGAACATTTCTCAGAAATTAAAGTGATGAGTTTGTGAATTGAAAAGACTCATTGAATATGCAGCATATCTAAAGCTATAATAATCACTCTAAAACTTATAGCTATGAAATTTCAAAATACCAAGGATAAGAGTCAATATCCTAAAAGTCACTTGAGAGAAAAATAAAGAGGGAATCATGAATAACATTGATGTTCATTTGCTAAAGAGAAACACTGAAGCGAGATGGCAGTTAAAACAATGGACTTGAAATTCTGATAAATAAAAACATTTCCAACTTCAAATTCTATATCCAGCTAAACTATAAATCAGGAAATCATGAAGTCAGAATAGAGACATTTTCACATATGCAAGCTTACAAAGCTTTACCTTTCATTCACTCTTTATCAAAAAACTATTGGCTTCATCATAATGAAGAAAATCACGGGACCCAGAAATTGGGATCCAGCAATTACAATCCAGCACAGGAGAGGGGGAATAAGTCCCAGGACAACAACTGTGTGCAGGCCTAGTGAGTCACCAGTTCAGATCAGGACAGGTAGATAAAGGATTCCAAGAGCAGTATCTCTAAAGAAGTTAACCAAGGTTTACAGTTCCCCATTAGAGGGAAGCACTTAGTGACATACATTTAAAAGTCAAGGCAATTATTAATCTAGAAGAATCAGAAAGTTGAATAAGAAGATAAATGCTATTTAATATGGATAGTTACAATTTATAGTAATGTAAGTGCTGAATATTGATTTGATTAAAGATTGTGACATAATTGTATTGGAATGAAGATAAAGGGAAACAGATTATGTCTAGTAGTAGTATTATTAGTGACATCAAATTAGAAACAATCCAAGTATTCATCAACTGGTAAGAGAAAAAACAAACTGTGTTATATTCATACAATGAATATTATTCAGCAAAAAGGCAACAAACTACCAATACATGAAACAACATGTACCTCTAAAAACACGTTAAGTGATAAAATCCAGACACAAGACTTCATATTGCATGGTTTCATGTATATAAAATTTCCACAAAACTCTATAAAGAGAAAGTAGAAAACTTGTTGCCTTGCCTGGAGATGGGGGTAGGGATTGACCACAAAGGGGCTTGAGGGAGCTTTCTCTGATGATGGAAATGTTCTATAAAACTGGACTGTGGGGATGGTTGCACAACTCTATAAATTTATTAAAAACTTTTGAACTACATACATAATAGGTGAATTTTATGGTATAAATTTTACCTCAATAAATCTGTTAAATAAAAACACCTCCTAGTCATCATTTTACTTACCTTCTGTGAATAATTTATCAGGAAATTGCCTCTTCCTTGAATTCCAATTCCAAATTCATCCATTTATCTACACCTCCACAGCCATCTCCCTACACTGAGTCACTGTCATCTTCTGTCTTATAATAACCTTCCAAATGATTGCTCTGCTTCCCATGTCATCCCCATCCACTCCATGCTCCATCAATAGCAAGGGAGAGCTTCTTAAAACACACACAGGCTGCCACACCCTATTTAAAATGAATACTCATCGCACTGGAAAAACAACTCAATCTCTGTACCTAGCCTTGTCATCAGGCTCTGTGTGTTTGTTTCTGACATCATTCTCTGATCTGTCTCACTCTTACCCTCTCTTCCTGACCTCCAGCCCAGCTGGCCTCCTTTTTAGTACCTCCAATGCCCCAAGCTCGCTCTTTCTTCACAGCTCCTTGCATATGTTTCTCTCTGCCTGCTGATCTTCCCTTTGCTCTGTATGGCTGGCTACTGCTCATCTTGGGATCCACTTGCATCTGTCCTCCTCATGAAGACCTTCCCTGCCCACCTGTCAGAAGTGGGTTACTCTTCCCATTGGCTACATCTCAGCCCCATGCTTGCTTCGTCCATGGTGGCCACTGAAGTCCCAATAATTGCATTTATGCTTTTGTTAACTTGTTTTGTGCCTAAGTATCCCCCTTGCTAAAGACTTCATGGGAAAGAAGGGAAATAGACTGTGGCTGTCTAGGTTACTATTATCCCCAGCACCGATCAGAGAGTATAGCACATCCTAAGCCCTGTGAATAAATGAACATCCAAGTGGTGTAGTGCAGAGGATTTGTGTACTACATCCTAAGCTCTGTGACCTCAGGATACCACTTAACTTCTCTAACTCTCTATTTCTCCATCTGTAAAATGGGAATACAACTGGCCACCTTTTAGCTTTATCGCAAGGGATAAATTACATAACATAGGTAAGAATATAGGTATGAAGAGAGAAAGCATGGTACCTGGCACATTGAATGGGATACAGTAAGTGCCATTCATATTAAAACTTCTACATAGCTGTCCTAGTTAACTTTTAAACCATGTTTCTGCTTATTATTTATGATATCATGATGGAAAACAGCTCTACCATTTCCACTTTTAATAATAAACTTAGGATGTGGAATGTATATTAAACTAAGTGAAAGTTCTTAAAGTCTGAATATTGTCAACCTTACTAAATTAGCCTGTCTGAAAAGGATAATTTCAGGTTAAAATGAAAAGCTAGTCGGTTGACATTCAACTGATCATTGGGAAGAATTAAACAGAGTTAGTAAAGAATTCTTAATGAGCTTCATCAATATGATGTGGTGTTTTCCTTATCTTATTAATTGATGTAGCTTAGAAGTTGGGATGGTCTCACTTAGGGAACATTTAAGGCTCCTGCAAGTGCACTGTAGGCCTGGGGCTAAGGGTTCTCTGCCTGGAGTGAGGTCTTGCAGTCTGTAGGACAGTAGTGCTCAAATTTAGCTTGTATCACAATCCCCTGGAGGGCTTAAAAACTCAGATTGTTCCAGAGTTTATGATTCTGAATGTTTGGTGTGGGGTCTGAAGATTTCCATGTTTACATTTCTAACAAATTTCCAGGTGATGTTGGGACTACAGCCCCTGTACTACTGCTGGTCTGGGGACATACTCTGACAACACAGAAAAGCCTAGGGGTGAGCAGCAGGGTGCTGGTCCTCTGAGAGCTGCAGAGTCACCCCGGTAATAGTGTCCAGCGACAGAAACTCCTACAAGGTTCATTTGTTCAGCAAGAATTTTTTGAAGGTCCAACTAGAAAAAAAGAACAGGGTAATTCAATTACCCGGAATCAGTGATATATGTGAAAGAGGGGCTGTAGCCAAACAGGATGGTGAGATACCCCAGAAAATAGTATCAGGAAGAAGGAATTACCACTCCTAGACCTCCAGGACAGTAGGAGGAGGGAGTGTTGCTGGAATTCAGAGCAGGGGCCTTGGGGAAGCCAGAACCACAGTGGGGCCTATCAGGTGGAAATGGAGCCATGGAAGAGATGCAGTCTCCACAAAGGATGCTGCCCTAGGCTGTTGGAAAATGAGAGAGAACCCCCTCGTTTCTCTGTACCCTCAGACCCTCCCTACACACACACACACACACACACACACACACTGCAGAGACTGCATCTAGGGGCAGACAGGCACAGGGCTTTCCCAGAGGGTCTGCTAAATAGCAAGTGGTAGGTGAGACAGATTTGCTTCTTCCTTCATTGATCTTGCAGTCTAATAGATTGATCAGGTGGAGCTTAGTAGCCCGGTAAGACATTGGCTTTCCTGGGGCCTTTGCTCTCTAGGGAAGTGTTATGCAACCCACTCATTCCCCATACATGCCTACGTTGAAATCTGATCTTCACTGTGATGGTATTATGAGGTGGGGCCTTGGGGAAGTGATTAGGCCATGAGGGTACAGCCCTGATGAATGGATTAATGCCCTTATAAGAAGAGGCCCGCAAGCGAGTTCTCCTTCTTTCTGCCACATGGGGTTACAAGATGTTGGCATTCTGCAATCCAGAAGGTGGCCCTCACCAATGACCATGCTAGTACCCTTATCTTGGACTTCCAGCTTCCAGAACTGTGAGAATTAAGTTTGTGTTGTTGATAAGCCACCCGGTCTATGGTATTTTGTTGTAGTAGCCCTAACAAACTAAGACAAGAAGTATTTGAGTAAGCTGATCATGTCACTTTATAGATACACATATGAAAAGTAATCTATGGCAGCAGCTGGGCTTCAAAATGATTGAAATTACAATTATAATACAATATATTCTCGCTTGTCTGTCTAGGAGGAAAGTTACAGAAAGAATTTTTTCTTTTGCCCAAATAACCATACTTGGTATGAAATTAATGTTATTAAATGGAAAAGCTCCAAAAGTGGCAGTGGTTATCTTTTGAATTTATGAATATTGTTACTATCATGTAAGTTACATTAAAATTAATAGGAGCCAAGGGTACATGTAGAGGAAAAAGAAATGGATCCCTCACTGAGCTTTTGTTGGGGACTGCAGTTGTGCTGAGAAATGGAATTTTAGGTTTGATGCATAATCAAGTGTGAAGAGTGTAGCAGAGAGGGGCCTACAATAAAAACACGCAGCTCTTTCACAGCTCAAGTGCTCTGCTCCACTCCACATCCTAGAATTAAGCACTTAAACTGGATATCTTTAAGTTCTTGCCAGAAAAACCCTAAATTTCTCTTGTAAGGATGATTTTCGGAAGGGAGAATGGGGGATGGGAGATTAGAAAACTGTTCCTTCGAATGTTGTTCATATGGAATGCATTTGAATGAAACTAACATCTGGGGGAAAGGATTCTATGAGGATATGAGATAACAGCAGAACTGTTTGCTGGCTGAAGTCATGTGGTAATGATATCAGCTTTGCCTGGGAAAAATGACAGCATAAAATCCAGTTGATATGCCTAGATAAAATGACATGAAATTGCATGTATTTGTCTAGAGTATTATGGTAATAGCATTAGAGGGATAGGTTTCTGTTTCTTGGAGAGCAAATAATTTGCCCAGTGTATCAGAACAGCAATAAACAAGTGTCAGGAAACATCTTGTCTTCCTTCAAGATTAGATGTCACTGAGTAGCTTATTTAGGGTGATGGCATATTTTCCTCACAATTCTCAAATCTTAAGTGGACCATCTATACATCTAACTTTTGGGTCATTGACTGTGTTCATCTTTGTGGAAATAATGAAGTAGCTCCTATTAGTAAAAGAACACTCTATTCTTCTGACAAGATTGAGTCGGTGCTAGTCTGCACGTACAGGTGTGCTTCCTGTGCTAAAATAAACGTGTTCCTGAAAGGTTACGTATAAATTGAGTCATTTTCCTATTGGCTTATATTATCTTGTCAAAGATGTTATGTCTTCTTTCCAGGTTGAACTTTAATTCACTTCTCACACTTTAACTTTCAGTTTCTCTTTACTCCTGAAATCTTTCCAAAGGGTTTTCATATTAATCTTGGTGGTCTTAGAAGCACAAAATAGCCGGGAAACTTCACAACTTGGAGCATCCTTTTATTCAGACAATAACTGCTCTTTTTTTTGGATGGAGGTTGTTCCTATAAATAATAAACACATTTGCTTTTCATTGGAGAAATTAAATTGAGCGAATATGGAGTGAATGTGCCGTGTGCTCTGTGCTAGCTGTGGCTGAGTCATCATGAACTCCCATTGGATCCTAAGAGAACAAGATGATGTCATAGGCATTTCTCAATCGCCATCACTCTGGAACAAGCTGCTCCTTCAAGCTGCTAGGAAAAGGCCAATATTCTGATACTTTTAGTATTCCCCTTCTTATCTTCCTGGCAAAATGATGAGGAACTACTATATGGTACACATATATGTAAGCAATCTTATAGTCACTGCTATAACATTTTATATGCTCAAGCACTGAAAGTGCTTATCTGAAATCTGATGCTCAGTTCTCAGCAGTCAAGAGTCACATGGATTTCTCTTTTCCCTCTTATTCCATTGTTCAGTAAATGTTTTTCTGCTAAGCGACCTATAACGTAATAGACATCAGATTGTGGTCATACAAATCTATATTTGAATGTCATCTCTGACATCTACCAACCATATGACATGTCTGTGCCTCAATTTTCTTCACCTTTAAAATGGACTTATTAAGCACTGTCTTGTATGGCTGTAGCAAAGATTAGTAATAATATATGTTAAATACCTAGCACAATGCATGCATATAATTAATACTCAACAAATGGCAATTTTTGTCATCATTGTCTCTTCCTCATCATCATCATTGTTGTTACTTATTGATATCTCTTCATTACCACTAGATTCAGAGACCTATAAATTCCAGACCTAGCATAATGCCAGACATACCAGGCACAAAGTAATTATTTATTAAAATAATTCACAGGTAAAATTTGGCATATACACTGTGCCTTTGTGAACTCCAGTTTCCTCAAGCCCCACCAGCCTATGGATACAAAATAATTCAGATTTACCGACTTTTACACAGCTGTTCATATAGCACCCTAGTATCCTAAAATATGCTTATTGAACATTTCTGTGTGTCTCCAGGGTTATCTCATATGTGCATAGAAAGAAACTTCATTTTGGAGGGTTCCTCCTCCATTGTCATCAGGCAATGAGCCAAAGCCCTGAAGGTACCAAGCTCCACAGCAGTTGATGCAAAGTGGTGTTGGGGTGTCTCTCTCCATTTAGTCTTATTTCCACCAGAAGGGCTCCAAAGCAGTGCTGCTTGGGAACCAATGTTACTGGCACCAGCATGAGGCTCTGGGTGTGTGCTCAGGAAGGAATAGAGAGACAGCACCATGCCATATTCAAAATCAGCTCCCCTCTCTGGCTGAGGCTCTGTGCATCAGCTCTAGAGCCTGGTTTCTTCCTCTGTAGGATGCATTATCTTCAGGAAGCAGCTCAGGTCCCCATGAAAATAGACATTGCTCAGGTCTGCCCTAGTGGTTCATGAGACATGCTAGGACACTTCTGAACTCCTGCAATTGGACACAATATTGGGTCAAGGACCAACTCCTGCTATATAGCTAAATGCTGGTTTGAAAATCAACATGTCACCTTACTCTGCAATGGTGACAACTCATATTTACAGAAAAAAAAGTTCATTTATTGTTTTTTTCCAACATTACTAAAGGTGTCTTATGGGAGACCTAAGGTTTCCTTCTAGGAGGCTATATGAGAGAGCAGAGCACAGCACAATAAGAAATCCAAAACACATCTATTCATACTTATCACAGGACTCAAGGGACTGCCAGACTGCTCTAGTTTTAGAGTTCCTTCTAGGAAAGTTTACAGACAAAGCAGAAATTTCTCCTATACAAGTCTGGTACCATGAACCATAGGGTTAACCCTCTGTCACCTCATACTAGGAATCAGGTTGCAGTGGGACAGGCATGGTGAATCAGGACTGGCTCCTTTGTCAATCAAGTATCAGCTAATTCCTAGAGCTCTGCAGAATCCTAGAGAACCCAAAGCAGTGAAGAGTATTTGCAGCTGCTTAAGGGAACAGGCCATGAAGACCAGTGTCCCAGTTCAGGCCATGCATTAAGAGGAAAATTTGGCTCAATGGCTAGACAGAGGGCCTGGGAGAGAACAACCCTCAACGCTGGTTCTCTCCAGCGTTGAGGAAGCACATTTACCAACAAATGACTGCTAAGCACTTTTCAGTTGTCAAGTTCATAGGCACTGAATAATAATGAGAGGGGGCTTCAGACTGTGATGACTAATGGCCCCTCTATTTCCTGCTGATGCTGGCAATTTTGTGTCATTTTGTTTTTATGTTAATTTATGCTCACAGGATTAGAATATAGCATTATGTGGTCATTCAATTTAATTGAAGTATGGAACTTCACAGGCCTAGTTTTGCATTTCTCAGAGATTTCGGTGATTTTTATCTTTAGCATTTAATCTTCCCCCCAGATCACCATTTCTAATGGCAATGATAATACATTTACACTTGCATCACACTTTTCCTTCTAGGAGTTCCAAGTATGTCATGGCCCATTACTCCCACAAGAGCTCTGCGAGGCAAATGCCAGGGAGGATTTTAAGCACTTTCCTTAGGTTTAACGTACATAAAAAGGTGCAGCCTTTATCACAGAGATAAGTTCTCAGCCATTTAAATTACTTTTGAATGCAATGAGAAGCTTTGCTTATGCATGAGTTTTCCACTGTGCTCTGTGATTTTCATACTGCAGAAATATGTGACCTTTAAGCTTGACAGCACTGCTCAGAGTACATGTAACTTATCAGGGAGTTTTCTTTGATTACCCCACCTCCTTCTTGTAAGGAATGTAGTGTTTGTACCACATTGCCTGGAAAAATTGCCCAAGGGCAAGGGGAAGCACCAACTGAGACATAGAAGAGAGAATTCAGCATTAGCAAACTCACCGTTTAAAAACGACAACACTGGAATGTCCCTGGTGAATATAGATGAACCAAAGGAGTATCCTGAGGCCAAGCAGCTCTCTGGATCCATTCTTGCTCTTTCTGAAGGGCCTCAGAAGTATCCACTTGAAGACACTGGCATGCAGCACTCTTTCTTCTGAAGGCCAAAAGAATAAGAAAAAAGCCGCAGCATATTCTGCTGTAGAAGGAGCATGCCACCAGCCTGATGGAAGAAACCCTCCCTGTGTCTGAAATAAGGAGGCATGGAAAGAGAAAAAATAGAGGGGTGGTTATGTTACATTTGCATTTCCCTGAAGGACCAGAGAAGTAGTTGGAGCTTTTTTCTCTTAGAACATCAGGCAAACACCATCTGACCCAGGTCTTCAGTGGATTGCAGGATTCTGTGTTGACAGCCTGCCTATGTCCATTGTGGGGGAGGGGGGCGGGGGAGAAGGGACATGAGAGATGAGGTCTGGGACAATAGGGACAGTTCTGCCTACAGGTACTGCCCACTGACTCATCGAACATTCTGTTTTAGCCCAAATGCGTATACTGCAATCAGTTCTGGCACTAACCACCCAGAGTCAGTGTAGACCCCCACAAGTTAGAGACTCAGTCCTCTACAAGATTGTCTCCATTTCAGACGAAGTCAGACGCAAGTGGAGTTACCAGACCACCCACAGTTCTGACCAACCAACTACATCTCCAGAGGATTCTCATGACACTGCTTTGGTCAACAACTCACTAAAATGACTCACAGAACTCAGGAAAGCACTGTACTTACAATTATGGTTTTGTTACTGGTGGCGAATCCACACGGGTCTACAGCAACCTCAATTCTTGCCTCCTCAGAAGAAAGAATTTGACGGAGGGGCATAAGGCAAAAGAAGAGACCAAGGCAAGTTTTAGAGCAGGAGTGGATGTTTATTAAAAAGCTCCAGAGTAAGAATGAAAAGAAAGTAAAGTATACCTGGAAGAGGGTCAAGGGGGAAACCTGGAGGTCAGGTGTGAGGTTTGACCTTTTGACTTTGGGGTTTTATATGTTGGCATACCCAGGGTCTTGCATCCCTTCTCCCTTGATTTTTCCCTTGGAGTGGGCTGTGTGCATGCGCACTGGCCTGCTAGCATTTTGGAGGTGAGCATGCGCAGTGGGTTTACTGGAGTTGTACGCATGCTCACCTGAGGCATTCCCTTTTCTGGTGGAACACCCCCAGAAGGTCATATGCTAATTAGACTCCACCATTTGAACTCTTAGTATGCATGTGTGAGCCCACTTGCCCAACCCCTGAGATCTTAGCTGGAAGCTAATGATCAGTTTCAGGTGTTTCTATTGGGAAACTGCCTTTCCCTGGTGCTGGCTGTGTGACCTGTTACTATTTTAGAGAGACAGTTAACTGCCTACCCATCACCTGATGATTGCCTGACATTCCTGGATAGGGGGCCAGTGGGGGTATCTCCTGCCCTGCTTATGTCTTCCTGACAAGCTACCTTTTTAACAGTTTCATTATAAAATATACTAATCAGACCAGCCAAATTAAGAAACTTATAGGGAGAGGCCTGGGAGGGTCCCAAACATGGAGCTTCTATGTCCTTTTATCAAGGAATCAGGATGTATCATCCTCCTGAGAGATCAGTGTGTTCACCAGTCATGGCCTGGAGCATAGTGGCTCAACCCTGTAGTCCTAGCTATGTGGAAGGCTGAGGTGGGAAAATGCCTTGAGCCCAAGAGTTTGAGGCTGCAGTGAGATATGAAGTCACCATTGCATTCCAGCCTGGGCAATTGTAAGACCTGGTCTCGAACATAAAACAAGATAAAACAAAAATGTGTTCACCAATCAGGAAGCTCCACTGAGCTTAATTGTCCAGAGTTTTTTTTAAATTGGTATAGCATTACATAGGCATGAGTGATTAAATCACTGGCCACAGGATGTAACTCAATCTCTGGCTCTCCTCCTCTCAGAGGTTGAACTGGCTCAACGTTCCAACCCTCTCATCACATGGCTGATCTTTCCAGTGACTAGTCGCCATCCTGAAGCTACCTATGGGCTCACTATGAGTCACCTCATTAGCATAAACTCAAGTATGATCCAGGGGATTCATAAATAACAAGGACACTTCTACCACTTTGCAAATTCCGAGGGTTTTAGAAGCTCTGTGCCAGGAACCTGGGACAAAGACCAGACACATTCTTTCTTACACAATAAGAGGCTCCTGAACCATGAAGCAGGGAATGTAACACAGATATTCCCACACTGGAGGTTCATAGAGCCCCAAGGAAGAGAATGTAGAGAATGAATACTTGAAAGTATAGTTTTAGAGAACGTTTATGGTTAAGGGCCAAGAGAAGAAAGACATTTGGCTTACTAATTAAAATTCTCAGATTTGGCCATCTCCTAGTTCTAGCACCTTTGAGACTGGGTTGTCTACATCAGGTATTGATAAGTAGCCTTCTTCAATTCTTTCAACGCTGACAAATCAACGCTAGGGCCCATATGCTCACCATCTTTATTATACTTCATTTGCAGTTTTTTTCCATTGTGCTAAATCCACAGAAATATTGCATGTCCAGCCAGAATTCTGGTACATACTTGTGCTGGCAATTCTGTGAGCAATCCTTTTAAAGTACTTTGCTAAGGTTTTCATAATCAAGTGATACAAATGCAATCAGGCATATGATGTACCACATGGTAGAATGTACCAAGTTATGACTACACAGATTTGAAATATCTATAAGGCACATTAAATTAGAGTGACTTTTCATCACAATTGGGCTTGCAAGAACTGTCATATTATTTTATTTAAATCTGACTTAGAAACCCCATCCACTGACCCCACTGCAGAGAATTTAATTCTTGCTTATTATCAGACCTTTTTCTTCACTCCCCACCCTGAGTCAATACAATAAAATATCTGTGAGGCCATCCCCATATCTGCCCCATACTAACAACTACTAATCAATTCACTGTCAGAGGCCACTTGAGTCCTTAAATCCAGAGACTTTATTAGGGAAATATAAATTCAAACCACTAAGAGATACCACTACATTCCTATTACAATGGCAATCATAGGAAATTACTGATGATAACAAGTGCTGTTGAGGCTGAGGAACAACTGGAACCCTCATATGTTGCTGGTGGAAATGTAAAATGGTGCAGCTACTCTGGAAAAGTGTGGCAATGTTTTATGAAGTTAAACATACCCTGACCATATGCCCAGAAATCCCAATCCTGGCTATTTACCCTGAAGTGAAATCTTATGTTCACACCAAAATCTGTGGATGAATGTTTATAGCAACTTTATTTGTGATCATCAAAAGCTGGAAACAATCCAAATGTCCTTTGGAGGGGAAAAGGATGAACAGACTGTGGTGCATCCATACTGTGAAATACTACACAGCCATAAAAAGAAATAAGCTAGCGATACACACAACATGGATGAATCTCAAAGACATGCTAATGAGAGGAGCCAATCTCAAAAGGATACACACTGTATTATTCCATTTATTTGACATTCTCTGTAAGACAGAACTATAGTGATGGAAAACAAATCAATGGTTTCCAGGGGTTATGGGTGGGGTGGGCTGTGACTATGAAGAGAAAATAAGGGGGCTTTGAGAGGGTGATGGAACTACTCTGTATCTTGATTACGTGAATCTCTAGGATACATGAATCGATGTTAGAATTATAGGTCTGTACAAAATAAAACAGTTGACTTTACTATAATTTTTCTTTTTATTTGAACAGATTTTTAAATGCTAATTTTTAAATAAAATGTTAAAAAACAAACAAAAACCAATCCAAGGGCATGTTCCTTCTATGCCATATTTGGGTGAAAACTAAAGGTTCTGGGACTCCAGTGCCTGGAGTCAGTCTCCCTAGGCACAGAAAGCATTTCCCTTAAAAAAAAAATACCCTGCTACCTCCCAGAGGGGAACAAGAAAGACTGTGGACCTTGCCCAGCATTATAGATTGCTCACCATCTGTCTGACATTCTTTGGCCTACTCTTCTCCAGTTTCTTCCTTGTCAGGGGACACACTTGCTTAGTATTCTCAAGACTTTCAGAAGGGCCAGAAAGAGAAGTTGTTTCAAGCAGTTTCTGCTTTCAGCTCTTCAAATACCCCTGAACCAAGAAGTACAAAGCCTGAGACCTCTTCTAGGAAAGAGAAAGGAGGAAATAAAGAGAATAAAACAACTGGTACTCATCCTTGCTCGATTTGTTAGAAGTAAAAACAACACCAAGTTAAAACCTCAGTAAATTACCCTGCTGCTCAAATAACAAGGAGAAAATTTTGCTCAGTCCCTTATTGTTCTGGCCTCCATCACCAATAAAATAATAAAGATTGGGAAAGATCAGTAAAAAGCACTGTGCACAACCTGACACAGTGGCTCTTGCCTGTAATCTCAGCATTTTGCAAGGCCAAGGCAGGTGGATCACCTGATGTCAGGAGTTCTAGACCAGCCTGGCTAACATGGCGAAACCCCGCCTCTACTAAAAATAAAAAAATTAACTGGGCATAATGGCAGGCACCTGTAATCCCAGCTACTCAGGAGCCTGAAGCAGGAGAATCATTTGAACCTTGGAGGTGGAGGTTGCAGTGAGCTGAGATCATACCGCTGCACTCCAGCTTGGGCAACAGAGTAAGACTCTGCCTCAAAAAAAAAGAAGAAAAAAAAGTATTATGCACATAATGTGTGTGTGTGTATGTGCTCTTAAGTTTATGTGAATTAACCAAGGGAACAGGAGGCAACCAAATGTGAAATAGGTAGGGACAAATGACACAAGAGCACCTGTACCTGATAGCGTAAAGGAGACAGCTCACCTGCTGGGAAATGAGTGGCATTAGAAGATCATCAGGCCAACCTAAATCCACATCTCTGGCCCAATGGTTGGAAAGGGGCCAGCAAGTGCCTTATTCAGACCAGTACTAGGACTTGCCCTAAGACTGCAAACATGCAAGTTGGCAAAGGGCCCCAGAGATTAAAAGGAGAATTGAGTCTGGGTGCTGTGGCTCACACTTGTGATCCCACTTCTTTGGGAGGCTGAGGCAGGAGGATCACTTGAGGTCAGGTGTTCGAGGCCAGCCTGGGCAACGGTGAGATCCCCATTTCTATAAAAATTTTAAAAACTAGCCAGGCATCACAGCTCATGCCTGTACTTCTTGCTGCTTGTGAGGCTGAGGCAGGAGGCTCACTCGAGACCAAGAGTTCAAGGCTTCAGTGAGCTATGATCACATCACTGCATCCCAGCTTGGATAACAGAAGGAGACCCTTTCCCTAAATAAAAAACAGGAGATGGGGATATCGGCCAGGGCTACAGCTTCATTGTGCCCTACACAAAGGTATCAGATGAGATGCACAAGTGAGACTGAATTCAACCCACATTCTGTTTTCCAAGCCATGAGTCTTATGATATTGAAATGTGGCAGAGTAATTAAACATAAAATTTTTAAAATTCAGAAAACACTTTAGAAAGATTACATACATTCTAGTTGAATTGGAATAATTAATCACATAACTTTGCCCCAAACTTTCTGAAACCCAAGGGGAAAAGAAATCTCACTGGAACCTTTATCTCCTAATTATTCAATAAAAGGAAATCTTTAAGTTATTTTATAGAAGCAAGCTATACTAGAAATAAGTATCACTGGACTTTACTAAGGGGGGCTTTGAGAAATATGATGGATGTGTTATTGATTACAAAATTACAAAGGCATTCTTTAATGAACATTTCCTTCATCTACCCTCTAAAAAGTCAACATAAGGAACAAAGATAACACCTGGACATATTCCTTTCTAATTTTCTGGATTAATAACAAGATTAAATGCAAGGCCAGCCACCAGTGGCTCACGCCTGTAATCCCAGCACTTTGGGAGGCCAAAGCAGGTAGATTACTTGAGGCCAGAAATTCGAGAACAGGCTGGCCAACATGGTGAAACCCCATCTCCACTAAAAACACAAAAATTAGTCGGCCATGGTGACGTGTGCCTATAATCCTAGCGACTCAGAAGGCTCAGGCAGGAGAATCACTTGAACCTGAGAGGCAGAGGCAGAGACTGCAGTGAGCTGAGATCGTGCCACAGCACTCCAGCCTGGTGACAGAGCAAGACTCTGTCTCAAACAAACAAACAATAAAAGGAATCCTAAGGCTCAACAAACTTGAGAATCACCAAGTTCAAAGTGTGAGTAGTTAGCATACATCCAATGGAAGCCTTCTTTAGATTGGATCACAGTAAATGTACAACTCAATTCTAAAAAGTGTCTACGAGTTGATAATCTTCATTATTGACTAGAAAACGACCCACACTATTTAGCTGGCAATCAGATAGCATGCAGTTCTGAAAATGAGGAACCTCCCATTCTTAGATCATCAACCTACTTTTTCAAGGAGGTGAGTTTCTAGAATGCCTAGGGATATGGTTCCTCAGCCACAGAACTTAGAAGGATTTTTAAAGTTCTGCATTTCAAAGGAAAATTTCAGCTGCTTGTAAGTATAGACTGACAAATCAGTCTTTCTTCCATGTTTTTACTTTAAGCAGTAACTCTGCACTGACTCTTCAAAGAGCCCATGATCAATTCTGACAGGCAAAGAATATTAATAAGAGTGTCAAGAAGGTGGGTCTGACATTTGAAAATTTGATGAATTCAGAGTGACACTAGGAGAACAACAAACTAAAATCAAACTGAAGATCATTAAAGTTGGGGTATTGGTTTCCTGTGTGGATGGGACACTGAATATCTAGCTTCTCAACAATGCAGTCTTCACAGTCTCCTAAGGGATATCTGAATCGGGTTAAGAAATGCCATCCCATATGTCCAGAAGTAAGACCCTCATGCTGTAACAGCCTTGTAGACTACGACTTGCCTTTCATCACACCTTCAGAATTCTAACTTTTGTCCCAAGCTAAATCTGGATTTCCCTAAAGGAGAAGTGGGTGGAGAAGAGGAAGAGATTCTGTATTATGTTACTTCCTGAGAATTCTCTTTCATTAATCTTTGCTCGGAAGGTGCCTTTGGGTGGTTTTTGGTGCAATGAATAATGTTCACACACAATCTTTCCTGTCAAACATTATATTCACTCTAAAGTCTGCCGACAGTTTGGGAGCAGTGTCTTTTGCTTTCCAATTGGCTTTCTATTGTCACTTCAAGAAGTGCGGAAACACCTGATTTATGAGAGTCTGGCTTAAAAAGTGTCATTTCCATTGCTTCTTAGTAACTGCCTCAAATAAGCAGAGGAGGGCAATTTGGCTTGAACTTGCTTTGAGAAGCTTTAAGTTTAATTTATACATTGGATAGAGCTCTCCGACTCATCGAAATTCTACTTAATACATCCTCAGAAAACACCTGAAAAACAAGAAAAATGTGGGCATGACCCTATAGTTAAGGTAACAGCTGTGTGTTTGTGAATATCATCTTAAAGCAGATTTCTGTTTTTCTCCCCTACACTGTCAGAACACATGAAAAACAGAATTTCAATGACTCAGAAACTATACCACAGTTGATAATTAGGCTGGTTTGTCAAAGGTACCTTAATCTTTTTATTTCCTTAAGCATCTGTCTATAGTTTGTCTATGTTATACCTGATATATTTTCTCCAATAACCTCATTTATGGGACATAGCTCAAAAGTCAGTAGCAGATAACTGACAGTTTACAAAGAGAGGAGGTTTAATTTAATATGTGCAGGCACCAGAGTCTCTTAGAAGATGACTGGTGCCAAGAAATTTGGAAGGTCATTATGTGGAATATCTGCAGAACAGTACCTTTTGAACCTTTTTAATGGGTAAGGAGGAACATTTATGCATAATGGTATGAGGCTTATTGTACACTTGTCCTCAATGCTGTCAGTCACCTGCATGAATCTAAGATGAATTTTAAAACTGCAGGCTCACAGTAAGCTGAACAAGCAGTTTGGAAGCTCCCCTCAGCCTGAACTGGTAAGAGTTTGAGAAATTGCTTCTCAAACTTCAGGATGCATATGAATTATCCAGGGAGATTGTTAAAATGCATATTCCGATTCAGAAGATCTGGTGTAGGACCTGAAGTTAGGCGTTTCTAGCAGGCCTGCAGTTGATGCTGGTGCTCCTCATCCATTATCTACACTCTGAGTAGCAAGGGCTTAGAAAAGAGTGTTTCCCAAGTTTCTTTGCACATATGGCAGCAAGAACTGGGATACTGGGGTTTCTGTAGTTCTTCTGCCAAGCTGGTAGATGCTTTTTAGATTCATCTTTTGTATTCATTCATATTTTTTCTGTCAACCACAGAAGGTTTTTCTGTAAAAAGCAAAGATACTAAGGCAAGAATTCAAAGAATCACTGAGATAATAGTCTTGTGCTTTACTTTGGTGTTAAGGACCTGATTTTGGGGGGGAAGGAAGGAGAAGAGAGTGAAACTTTTAATCCAAATACTACAGCATGCAAATAATAATTTAGAAGAGTGAACAGCAAAACTCGCATATGAGGATGATTTTTCTGTGTTCTATGATTTTGTTCTCAAGTAAATAATGAGGCCAGTTTGGAATTGCCACATTTTGCCATAATTTAGGCAATTGTTTCCATGTGTGGAAGTTGAGTTAGGATTCTCTAATTGCTGCATTTATCATTCCCTTTTCATTATTTTGTTAGGGCAATGTCTACTTTCACATAGTCCCAGATCACCTCACATGGACGTGTTAGGGTTACCAAATTTGAAAACAACTCAGACTTTTGAAATTTTTAAGGAATGGTTTTTCAGTTCTGTGTGTTCCTTTTTAGCCTTCTCAAGCGTTTTTCATCTGCTCCTTTTGGAGTGTGATCATGTATGAATTCCCAGTACCAAAATAGCCCATTCTAAGTGTGCATGTGTATTAGTGGTAGGTTTTGGGGGAAGGCAGGGGTGGTCAAAGCTTGAGACAATTGGACTCCAAAGGGTTCACATCAAAGTGCCAATGCCATGGTCATAAACCAACACTGACTTACACCCTCACAATACTTTATAAAGTTTATAAAGTTCTTTTATTGTGTGTTTTGATCCTGACAATAAAATACTAAGGTTAAAAATGGCAACCCCTCTTTACTGGTTAGAGTCTAACATAACAAAGGATGCATGGAATTACCCGAGACTACAAACACTTCCAACTGCAGACAATCTCCATTACAGCAAAACAGCTAAACAGACAAAGTTACCCTTATGAAGATCAGCTTATTCAATATTTATGTGGGTAGCATGGATTTGCCTTGGGCCAATACAAAAGACTTCTCTTCTCCCACTTTATGTAATTAATAGTAGTAAGAGCTAACAGTCACTGAAAGTTTACCACACGTCAGACACAGTTCATGTTAAATATAATCCAATCCTTACACCATCCTATGTGGTGTATACCATTATTAGTCCATTTTAGGGACAAGGAATTTGAGATTTAAATAAGCCATGTACTTGGCTAATGGTTAGAATCAAGATTCACATATAGATAGACGAATTCAGAGGCTGCATTTCTAACCCGGAAGCAAATTGTCTTCATCTTGGAAGGAAGTTTGAGATCCATTTAATTGGCAATGAGCAAAGGATATGCCTTATGCTTGCTTAGGACTTTTTAATTTTCACCACAGTTCAGCCTTGGAAGCTCTGAACCCTTCCAATAACATTGTGTCCAGAGTTCTCAGTTTAACATCTGAATGTACTCCAGCTAATGCTTTGGACATCTCAGCATACTTTCCTGTCCTTTGTCTTGTTCTGTAACAGCAAAATGTCCCATATTCTTTCAAAGAAAAAATACCCGATTAGCATTCATTCATTCATTCTCCACCACCACTACCAATGAGATTGGGTTATGAAGGATACTTGTGACTCCAACATTGCTAAAGATAATGGCCACTTCTCAGTTCTCACCTTGCTTAACCTCATCACTTGACGTTGCTGATCACTCCCTCCTCCTTGAAATACTGTCCTTAATTGCTTTTCAAGAAATCACACCTTCCCCATCTTCCTCCTTTCTTTTGGGCTATATACAGTTTCAGTCTCTGCTGCTGGCTCCTTTCATTTGCCTGATCCCTAAACATCAGAGTGCTTGAACCTCCTCTCTTTCTTCAATCATGTCCTTGATGATCTCAACCAATCTCAAAGCTGAGCCCTATTATATATATGTATGTCTCTGGCCTATACCCCTCTGAGTGTCAAACCTATGCATCCAACAGCCTGCTCTTAGATGTCTAAGAGGCATCTCAAGCTTATTATGCCCAAAACTGAATTTGTGATTTTTCTCTGAGTCTGTCCCTTAGCAGCCCTCTACCTCATAAGTGGCAAATCTATTCTTCCAGTTGTTTAGCCAATTTTACATTCATTCTCTTTCTCTCACTCATATCCAATCTATCACAATACCTTGATCTTAAATATATATATATCCCAATACCTGTTGACTCTACCTTCAAAATATGCCCAAATGACTTACCATTCCTATTGTTACCATCCTGGTCCAAGTTGCTTTCTTTGATTAGAAAAATACCCTTCTACTTGGTCTCCATGCTCCCACCCATGCCCCGCCATATCAAAGTAGCAGTTGGATTCATCTTTTGTAAATCTGAGTCAGACCATCACCTATCCCACTCAGAACTTTCCAATTTCACTCAGAGCAAAGGCCCAAATTCTTCCTACAGTCTACAAGCCCCTACACATTCTGCATTTCCACAACAGCCCCTAACTGTTCCTGATACCTACCAGGTACAGAAGGCCTTCCTTCCCATTAGGGCTTTTTGCAGTTACATTTTCTCCTACCTTGAACAATCTTTCACTAGACATTGTGATGACTCCTTTACCACCTTTAGGGTTTTGCTTAAACATCAGCCTCTCAATGTGGCCTTCTGTTCCAGTTACTCTTGTGGCATAACAAATGTCCTCAAAACTCAGTGGTTAAAACAACAATCATTTTTATATGCTCAAGGATTCTGTGGGTTAGGAACTCAGAAAGAGCAGAATGAGAGTAGCTGAGGGTGACATCACAGCTGGGAGTTGAAAACTGACTCACTCACAAGTCTAGCAATTGTGTCAGTGGATACCTCAACCAGAACACCTATGTATGGTCTCTCCATGGCTCTGCGGGCTTCCTAGCTGCATGGTGGCTGCGTCCCAAGAGTGTATTTCGAAGAGCTGTATTACCTTTTATGACCTAGCCTCAGAAGTAACACAGTATCTCTTTGACCAGAGCCATAAACTCACCCATGTGTAAGGAGAGGAACAGAGAACCCCACTCCTCCCCCATACCCACCATCTAGTGGGAGAAGTATCAAAGTCACATTCTAAGGAAAGCATATGGGATGGGTGATATCATGGTTGCCATCTTTAGACATTACAATCTGACACACCTTCCCCGCTCTCTTTATTTTAAATTGCAACCACTCTCAGCCCTCTGCCTCCTCCACCTCAACAGGCTCTACCCCCTTTCCTTTATTGTCCCCAGAGCATTTTTATTAGTCTCCTGTTGCTGCTGTAACAAATTACCACAAACTTAGTGGCTTCCAACAACACAAAGTTATTTTCTTACAGTTCTGTAAGTTAGAAATCGGAAATTCATTTCACTAGGCTAAAATCAAGGTGTAAACAGGGCTGCATTCCTTCTGGGAACCACAGGGGAGAGTTTGATTCCAGCCTTTCCCAGCTTCCGTTGGCTTCCTGCATCCCTTGGCTGGTGGGCCCACATCACTCTGACTTCTGCTTCCATTGTCACCTCTCCTTCTTATACGGACCCTTGTGATTATGTTGGGCCCACCTGAATAATCCAGGCAACTGCTCCACCTCAAAATTCTTAACTTCGTTACATCTGTAAAGTCTTTTTTGGCAAATAAGGGAACATATTTATAGGTTTAGGGATTAGGAAGTGGACATCTTTGGGGCCTATTATTCAGCCTACCAGAGCACTTATCACCATTGGACACATTCCATATTCTACATATTTGTTTATGTCCTGTTTAGTAGAACATAGTCTCCATCAGAGAAAAGAGTGCTTTCTTTTTTGTTGTTATATCCCAGGAGCTTAGTAAAGTTCCTGGCATATGTTAAAAACTCAATATATATTTGTTGAATAATTATTTTCTTGTCAAATAAATGATTCCATAAATATTATTGAGTACCTACTACGTGTGGGATAATGTAGCTACACTGAAGGCTTGTTAAAACTGATTTTCCAAAGTGTTCTAAATATTCTGTACCCGTAGAGAAAACCACATGTGTGATTCAACAGAATAAAAAGTCAAGGGTCTAGCCCATAACCACAATTCAAAAAATCTTTTCCATTCCTTTTTGGACATTGTACAAAAAGTTATTGTCTCTGTCATAACATGTGTGCATCTGAATCTCTGTCATCTTCCTACCCCAGTTACTCGTCCTAAATGAAAACGGGAGACATGCAGATAGCAGAGGATTTGGACCCTGGGTCTTAATTACCTACATGGGTTTGGGAACTGCTACTTATTAAACTCTTAATTGAGCAGCCCTATGGCCCTGCTTGAGGTTTTGTTGCCATAATATTTCATGATATTTCTACAGACAGTACACAAATAAAAACGGTTTGTGTTTCAACTGAATTTCCTGATTCTTTGTGAATCAAGCCAGATGTGTGGAAATCTCTCTCTCTCTCTTTCTCTCTTTCTGTGTGTGTGTGTGTGTGTGTTTAGACACTGATCCATATGCTTGCACGGATGCAAATTCTGTGACCTTCTGTTCTTTCTTTTCCTTGATGATTTGTACACACAATCTCATAAGGCAAATCTCATAATTAAGTTGGATCTGTTTCAACCATGATTTTTTCAAAAGATCATAATCATCATGGTTTCCATGTTCATTCAGAAAATAATGTAGTCGCATATGTCCATAAATGACCCACATAGAATCTGCCCTTATCAATTTTGTTTTGGAACATGAGCCAAATTGGACTTATTTCTATTCACTTCAGATGTAATGACAGCCTGTTACTAAACATCACATAGAAAGCAGAATCTCAAAACAAAAACAAGCAAATACTGTTTTCCATGTTAACTAGAGTTAGAGAATACCGGGGAAGGAAACAAAGAGTAGTTCAGAGTTTCTATTTCTCTTTAAACTCAGTTTTCTCAGCTGCAAAGTAGGAACACTAAAATCTTTCTTGGCAACTTACTTGGCCTCTATACGCTTGACTCCTTTATCCATACAATTGATATGGTAATAATAACACCTACCTCGGAGAGGAGCTGGAAGATGAAATTAGTTTCAAATGTAAATTACTTATTTAAATGGCTGGTGCTTAATAAAGGTTCAATATGTTTAATACACTGTTATTCACTCATAGAATTAGGTAAATTCTAGACATGTGATTTATATTAACTAATTGATAGCTATTTTTAAAAAACAGTTTCTTAGAGCAGTTTTAGGTTCACAGCCAAATTGAGAGCAAAGTACAAAGATGTCCCATGTACCCTCTTCCCCCTCACATGCACAGGCTCCCTCATTATCCACAGCCCCTATCAGAGTGGCACATCTGTTACAATTGATAATCCTTCATTGACACATCATCACTGTATTGGGCCATTCTTGCATTGCTATAAAGAAATATCTGAGATTGGGTAATCTATAAAGAAAAGAGGTTTCATTGGCTCACAGTTTCTGCAGGCTGTACAGGAAGATCTGGAAGCTTACAATTATGGCGGAAGACAAAGCAGGAGCTTGCACATCACATGGTGAAAGCAAGAGCAAGGCAATGGGGGGAGGTGCTACACACTTTTAAAGAAAGACCTCAGAGAATTCACACACTATGATGAAGACAGTGTCATGGGGGATGGTACTAAACCATTCATAAGAAATCCACCCATATGATCCAGTCACCTCTCCGCAGGCTCCACCTTCAGCACTGGGGATTACATTTCAATATGAAAGTTGGGCATGGAAACATATCCAAACTATATCAATCACTCAAAGTCTATAGTTTACATTAGATTTTGCTCTTGGCCTTGTGTATTCTATGGGCTTGGACAGATTTATAATGACATATACCTACCCATTACAGCATCATTCAGAGAAGTTTCTCTAATCTAAAAGTCCTCCGTGCCCCTCCTATCCATCCCTTCACACAGCTCCCCCACCCCTAATCCCTGGTGACCACTTATCTCTTTATTGATCTATAGGTTTGCCTTTTCCACAATGTCATATGATTGGAATTATACAGTAGGTAGCCTCTTCAGATTGCCTTCTTTCCTTTAGTAATCTGCATTTAAATTTCCTCCATATCTTCATAGTTTGATAGCTCATCTCTTTTTAGTGCTGAGTAATATTTCATCGTCTAGATGTACCACAATTTATCCAGTCACTTACTGAGGAGAATTTGGTTGCTTCCATAGCTATTATGTTTAAAAGCAGAAAGGACTCCTCTAGCTGAAAAACTAAAGAACAACTTATATAGTGTGATTTCAGAAGCCCGAGAAGGTTCTGTTTACCCTTAGGAGTTTCTCTTCTACCTTGAAATAAAGCCTTCTGTTTCTTCAACAAAGCTTCATTTATCTGACTTAAAATGTTACAATGAAATACTCCTAGGAGAAATATTACTTTAAACATCATTAGCTATTTACACTTCAGAATGAGTGAGTTTTATATCTTGTTCTGAGAAATTTCCCCAGAGGTAGAGGACAACAACATGAGACAATTGGCAGCAAGGAAAACAACTTCACCTGCTCCACGATTATAAATAACTTATGTGAATATCAAATTCAATAACATACAGAATGTTTTGGTTTCAGTTTATATCCCACCATTCCCTCCTAATGTCCCAATTGAGTGATCGGGTCTTAGAACTTTTATGAATATAGGCAAAAATCCTCTTAATTGACCCTCATTGGACATCAAAATTATTTTGATAGTTTGAAATACTTGTCAAAAGAGAGTTATTACTGTTTTTGGAGGGCATTTACTTTTTGTACTTTCATGGCTGGAACTAAAGTTTATGAAGAAATACAGTCAGTGTTCCTTGCTCCTGTTTCTCCCTCTCCCTTGACCTTGCCAGGGCACCTGAGACCCACACATCTCTTCCACAAGGCATCCCAGCCAGGCCTGAGTCTGCCACTAGTTTTCGTGAAGGAAGCAGAAAGATCACACCAAAACTGCATGGTACAATGAAGGAGATTATCTGTTGAAAAGGAAGTGGAGATTTCACTCAGCTGGTAATTAAAAACAGGCTCTTAACACGCTTTTCTGCAAATGAGCTAAGCTTGGCAAGTGGTTTCCATTCTCTTGGCCTCAGTTTCCCCACTGGTAAAATGGGAATTGGATAAGATAATTTGTAAGACAAATCCTCTAGTTCTAAAGTTCTATAACTACTCCTTGACAGTTTTATACCTAACTAAATGCCATGGGTCATTCGTTCCTAACATTTTATACCCAACTAGAATATAAACTCCTCTAGGCTACAGCACCAGTACTCCCCAAGCTCCTGGGGCAACCCATCTTTCACTGCGTACACAAAGCAAAATCAGTGAAGTTGGTCTTCAGTGATCCCAGCGTCTCCTTCTCTCCTCTAAAATCATCCAGTTAGACAGCTGTGGAATCCTAAGGCTCACTTGGACAAGTTATCTACATTCTCTGAGCATTAATTTATTCTCCCATAAACTGAAGATTATAATATCCATCTCACTGGGCTGCAGTGAGAATTAGTTTTCATAATGTATACAACTTACTAGCACAGTGCCTGGCATATATGGGCAATTTTCTCTTCCTTTTGACTTTATTGCCTTGTGCTTTTAAAATTCTAATTCTTCCTCCACATTAAAGGAAAGGAAATGGCTTGGTGAGACCAAACCATTTGTATCGTGTGATGGTTACCCAAGCTCCTGTGGGGTTCAGCCTTTTATCTTTGACTGTGGAAAGCTTTGACTATTCTATAAAGAATCCCAAGTATGTGGGGCACGGGTGACAAGAAGAGTTCTCTTGCTAAGCTGTGGCATCTCTCTTGCTTTTGAGCTCGAACTTCCTCAAAGTCAGTGCCTAAGTCTACTTGAATTTTTTCTAGGAAGCCAGTGAGTCAGAAGAGCCTGAGTGGGAAAAAATGGCAAATCTCCACCAGCTCCCTGCACCATGTGCCAAAAAAGACAACTGTCTGGGCCCCCCTGGGAAGCAGTGGCAGCTGCTGGAGGTTCTTGCCTGGGAACTGCGGGCGTGGAGGATGAGGTGCTGGCATCGAGGATTGTTTGCACTGATTCCCCCACCCCTTCCGGCTGGCTACAGAGGTCTGGGTGAGGAACAGGTGGAGAGAAGAGAAGAGCCAGGAGCAGCTGGACTCTTGCAAAGCTCCCACAGAAAAAGCTGTTCCAAAACCCGAGCACTTGGGACCAACCCAAGGAACTCAGCCCCAGTTACTGGCAGGGACTCACAGCCCACTGCTGCCTGTGGCCCACAGTAGGCAGTCCAAATCCCTTTGCACGGTGTCCTGAGCTCTTTCCAACATGGCTGCTGCCCATTTCACCTCCTGCCACTTCCCTGGGTCAGCTTCTCATCATCTCCTGAGCAGCCTCCATGTGATCATGCTCCTCTCAATCTGGAAGGTCCTTCTATCCTACTCTATGTTGAAAACTCTGCCACAGTCCCTAAGACCCACCTCAGGTTTGCCTTCTTTGCCTAGGCCTTACCTCTCTGCCCTGAGCCTCTGCAGCATTCATACCTCCATGGCAGTCCTCACTAGTTCCTCATAGCCATCTGTTTGCATGGCTTGCTTCTCTACTCAGGTGGGAGATACTTAAGAACAGGGACCTTGCTTGATTCACTCTGAACTCCAGCACCCAATCTGCACTTGGCATAGGATATGTATTTAATGAATATCTCTTAAATGGATGTTGAGCCCCAGTTGCAGAAGAATAAAAAAAGAGAACTTGGTCTTCCCCCTGTGAGGCCATGAGTATGGCCAAATGACCCATGATGCTCACAGTACCAAGAACCTAATCAGTGCTGGCCCAGATAAGAGACTCTTGGAGGATTAACTGAAGATACAAACTAGAAACACAACTCAACTGTTTAAAAGGAATACTCACTTTACATACTTTCTTCCATATTCAAAATATTTTTTTTCTTGGCCATTATAAAAAATCCTTCTGTTGTGATAGCAGAATTTTATCCTCAGATGCCAAGGAACCTTACAATGCATTTCACCCTCTTCCTCCTTATTTTTACAATTCTAGAGAAACAGCTGGAAAGAGAAAAAAATATCACACACTCGGATGCACTCAGAACTCCATCACAAAATGGACATTAGAAATGCTAGCTGAGGGGAATTTTTCTTTAAGAAAAGCTTTGTAATATATTAAACATGCAATAGCATTTCCTAGATTTTCTCTCCATTTTTCTCCACCCAGGGAGGAATTCCAGATCATTATAGGCATTTATGGGAAACGCTTTCATTGATGCCTAATCCCCAAGTAGTACGAGAACTGTATGTATTAACTTTATGCTTCACTGGATTATATGTTTTACTGTACTATCACATTAAACTCTACAAAAGCATACTTGTTCTTCAGCAAGTTTGTCTGTTCTGCATGGCTGACCACTCCTCAAGCATAGTTACCTACTCATACTTTAGAAAAACTGGTCGGAGCTTTGCTGAGAGTTATTTTTGATACCTCTTCTGCACCCTTCGAAACACCCAACCCCATGCTTTATGGCCATGTTGGAAGACTTCATAAACATCTGCAAAGATAATCTACTTATTGAGAGATTGTGGAGCCCACAGAATACATTAAGAGCCTGCAGAACACTCAGTGACCAAGAAGCCTTCGGAAGACTCCCCAGGACTTCTAATCTGGCGGGAAGACTGACACATTTCTAAAGGAGCCTTTGAATAATTATTTAAGAGAAATGTGATTTTAATTTTTTGTTACTTTTGGACTTTCCAGAGTAAAATAATAATTTTGCCATTAGCACCTTAGCCCTAGGGTGGAAGTGAATTTCACCTGGAGCAAACTTACTAATATGGAGAGGGAAGGGGAAGACGGGGATCATGGAAAGATCTAGGATGGGAGGCAGCCCTAGTTCTGTCATTAACTGGGGATTTGGGACATTTGCCCTCTGGGCTTCTGCTCTGTAAGATGCACTTCATTTAAGCCTTAAGCTGCTGGTCTTCTGGGATCACTGAGAGCAGCAAAAGGGACCATGGAGGTGAATGTCATGAGCTAAGTCCTGTGAATGTGATGGGCTGGGAGGGTCCTTGGAGCCAGCCATTAATTAGTGTCCAGGTGTAGCCCATTCCACAGCTACATGTGGGTCAGAGGTTTGCTGAGGGAGGGAGAGATGGGACAGGATCCTGAATACCATGGAGAAGATTCACCCAACTAAAAGTCACCCTCCCCACGCTTGCCAAGCGCAGTGCCTTCTCCCTGCCTGCCTCAGTCCTTCTAGGCCTCCTGAGTCTTCTCTCAGAGATGTTTTTTTTGGGGGGAGGCGGGGGATAGGGTCTTCATCTGTTGTCCATGCTGGAGTGCAATGGCGAGATCTCAGCTCACTGCAACCTCCACCTCCTGGGTTCAAGAGATTCTCCTGTCTCAGCCTCCCTAGTAGCTGGAACTACAGACATGCACCACCACACCCAGCTAAATTTTTGTATTTTTAGTAGAGACAGTTTTTCACCATGTTGGCCAGGCTAGTCTCAACCTCCTGACTTCAGGTGAGCCACCCACCTTGGCCTTCCAAAGTGCTGGGATTACAGGTGTGAACCACACCACACGGCCAAGATACCTCTTCTTCACTTGTGCTGCAAGCTATTGCTCACTCTGACATCGCAGGGCAATTAAGGAAAGAAAACTTGTAGAGTTGTTTCTGTTTGGATAGACTTGGATGATGGCGTGGGTGAGCAATGTAATGCAGCTGATGGGTTAGATAGTCCCGACACGGGATCGAACCCCTTCCCCCACCACCCAGTTTCACAGAGGACACATCCTGAAACACATTGTGTTAACTACAAACATAGAACCAGAGGAAGTCTGCGGGCTGAGAGCTGCGGGCAGGGCAGCCACTGAGGCACAAGGTCAGGTCTCTTTTCATGAGAAAACCTTGTGCGGTGAGTTCCCGGCCTCAAGGCGGTGCTTCTTCCTGGGCGGCCCCAGCCAGTGACGGAGAACAGTAGGAGTACTCAGGTCTGGCTATTTCTGCCCAACATGGGACTCCTCCAGCAGGACAGCCTGGCTCTGCATGGAGCTCCGGATGGGGCTGGCGGGACTTTCTAAACGCCGCACTGCACTGCCGAGGAGGCTCTCCCTGTTCCATCCTCGTGATCTAAAGCCCTTCCCTGCCTGCTCCTATTTCCCCGCCCCTTTCTCTTTCGCAGTCATTTCCCGGCTCCCAAATCACTCACACTTCCAATGGTTTTGGTGTCTGCTTCCCAGAGGACCTGAGCTGACACCAACTATAGGCTCAAGACAGCAGAAATTTATTTTAACTTTAATAGCTTATTTTGATTCAAAATACAGCTACATAATGTTTTTACCCACAACTTAAAAATCTCGAAAACACCAAAACTTGATCTAACTTTATATGAAGCTATTTGTAGTCTGCAGTTATTCTACTTCATAAATTATAAATAACATATTTATATTAAATACATTTATTACAGAAATATTAACGTGCTTGGTTACGGGATGCAGCTTCTAACCGATGGGCATATCATGTGCAGTATGTACATTATATGAACTCGCTAATATCTAAAAACATCTGAATTATAAAAAATATCTAAGAGTTTTGAAGAAGGGATTGTAGACCAGTACTATACATAATTGAATTCTATGAAGCACCTCATCTCCAAAGGAAATTCCATTGAACGACACCTCCCAATGATGGCAGTGGCTGCTCCAGATGGCCTACCACACTGCCATCACACGAGCTGCAGCCGGGAGGCACAGCTGGGACTGCGCCCTCAGTGGAGCCGGCAGGAGCCAGGCCAAGCAAGAGCCCTGCCCTGCCCCTTTCCCTTCCAAGATGGGGCAGGAGTTCCCTGGGTGCTACTGTCGCTGCCCAAACTGCAGCTGTAGACCCAGACTTCCTGCTCTGTGGAGCAGGCAGGATCACCCCACTCCTGGGCAGGGCTGCAGCTTCCCAAACTAACACTGTGGATCCAAGCCTCCCCGTGCTCTTGGGGAGCTCCCCAGATGCCACTGCAGCTGGCCAAACAGGGGCTGTACACCCAATCTCCCTCTCCACTGAGCAAGCAAGAGCTTCACCCAAAATGCAGCTCCAGACTCACGCATCTCTTCACTCTTAGGGGCCCGGGGAAGGCCCCCCCGCCCTTGCAAGCTTGGAAGTGTCTGCTCCTGCTGCCTGGCTTCTCTCTGCTGTTGGCACCCCCTCAAATCTGAAAGAAGTCGGGGCCAAGCCTGGGTTCCATGAACGGCAGCAGGAGGCAAACAGATTCCTGGGAGGGTAAAAGGGGACAGTTCCGGTAAGGCCCCACCTTCAGGCCAAGGAGGGCTTGAAGGTTGGGGGCTGGGCTGCCAGTCCTCCAGACCAGAATGGGGACTTGTGGTACCTTTTCCAGCCCTCCCATAGCCCATGGACCAATGGGCACACATTTCCTCCCCTCTGAGGTCCTCTGAAGCCCCCGGCTCAGCCAGAGCAAACAGAGGATGGAGAGGTTGGAGAGAAAATGGGAAAACTAGCTGCAGAGAGGAGCTACCCTCTCTGCTAAGAGCTTCATAGACCTGCAGAGATGTCAGGACTACCAGCTGCAGAGAGGAACAGGGCCTCCTTTCTGGTGAGAGCTTGATTCCTGATGGGACAACCTGCCTACAGAGAGGAGCTGCCCACTACAGGTCTCCTCTGAGCTGTTGTACACTTAATAAAGCTCCTCTGGCAGGGCGCGATGGCTCACACCTGTAATCCCAGCACTTTGGGAGGCTGAGGCAGGCAGATCACAAGGTCAAGAGATCGAGACCATCCTGGCCATGGTGAAACCCCGTCTCTACTAAAAACACAAAAATTAGCCCGGCATCATGGCACACACTGTGGTCCTAGCTACTTGGGAGGCTGAGGCAGGAGAATCGCTTGAACCCAGGCAGAGGTTGCAGTGAGCCGAGATTGTGCCACTGCACTCCAGCCTAGCAACAGAGTAAGACTCCATCTCAAAAATAAGAAAACATAAAAATACAAAATAAAATAAAGCTCCTCTTCATTTTGTTCACCCTTCACTTGTTCGCATATCTCATTCTTCCTAGATGCAGGACAAGAACTCGGGCAAAGGCACCACTAGCCACAGAGGTTTCCAGCCAGAAATCAGCATCCCAAAGATCCCATAACACCAGTCCTCATGCCCTTGTGTAGTCCTCTCACCTTGAGTCTGGGCGCTTTACCTGTAGAATGTGGAAGAAATGATGCTGTGCCAGTTCTGACATATGCTTTAAGAAAGTTTCGCAGCTTCTACTTTTGTACTTTTAGATGATCTTATCCACCAAGAAATCTGGACAGACCACATGGAGAAGCTAAGTGGGCAGGGAGAGGTCCCAAGATGACCCAAGGAGGAGAGGCCTAGCCATCCCAGTGACCCATCTGACTCCATCCTTCTGGCCATCCACACACAGGAGCCAGACTTATGATTTAGGCCACCTTAGATATTCCAGCTCCTGCTGGAACATCAGACTACAAGTGGCGTGAGGGACCCCAAATGAGACCAGCATAGGAACCAGACAGCTGAACCCTGTCAAGGCACAGAGTCGTGAGAGGTTATAAATCACTCTGAGTTTAAGTCACTAAATTCTATCGTGGTTGTTACAAAACAGAAGATCACTGAAGCATGGTTCTAAGACCTTTGCTTACAAATGACTGAAGGGTCACAGAATGGAAAAAATGAAAAAGAAAAAAAGAAGCCAGGTAGTACTAAAAATAGGTCATAATAACAACTTCCATCAAATAAATACGTCTTGTGTGACTGGCATTAGGCTTACATATATTACCTCATAGCAACTCTGAAAAGAATGTTTTATTACCTCCATGTCACAGAAGAGGAAACTGATGCAATGAGAGATCTGTGAGTCTGTGGCAGAGCTGAGATTCAAACCTAGAAATTTCCTGTAAGATTGACCCTGACCACCTCCCAGCTCTTGGGGTCTTGTAGAAATTCATCCCTCTCCAATGAACATGTGTTCTCTCTGCTCTCCTGCATCTACTCAATCAGTGACTGTACCTTCAGCTCCCCTCTGGGGACCACCCCACTCTCAATGAATGTGCTTTGGGTGGAGGTCTGTTCTTATGATCTCAGCCTCAGTTTATAAACACATCCCATTCCCCAGGACACGGTTCGGGCGGCAGCAGGGACATTGAGATGTGCTGGAAAATACTCTCCCCTTTCCACACTAGATACAATGCAGAGGAACATGTCCCCTGTGTCTGCTCTTCAGCCTCATCAAGAACTCCCAGACTTTTTCTTCTCGGGCTTGTTGCATTCTAAGCATTTTCCTGAGCACATCCTTCACTTCTTTCCTGAAACATCTTTCCCCCAGCTTCTCTTTTTGTCCAATTATTTGTAATCCTCAAGACTCAATGCATGTAGCCTCCTGATCCAGCAAGACCTAGTCCCAGTCCTATCCCCTCACCATAGGATCTGAGTTAGCAATCGCTGCTTTGTGCCTCTCTTGTCACTAAATATACTGTGTTATGTCACTGATCATATTGCTGTTCACCTGTGGCCTATCTGCCTATCTCTTTTACCGTCCTGCAAATTCCTCAGGGCATCCGGCATGTCCTAATCATCTTTGTATCTTTATCACCTTGCACAGTGCTCACTCTGTAGATGACCCTCTTCATCTAGTGTAGATGTCCCTATGGGATTTAACAACAGCAAATAACCAGTGAAAATCTCAAGTTCTGCTTTCGACCTTCCTGTAGATTCAGGTTGTCTGTGATTCAGGTTGTCTAGATTCAGATGGTTGGCATTGGCAGGTGTGAGGGTTGAAATATTTGTTCCCATTGTGTATGGGAGACAATAAATAACATCTTCCAGTCAACTGAGAGCTGAGATACAAAAGCAACAACACAAGGATTAAAACGTTAGTTTCATCACAGTTAAAATCAATTGGGGAACATGACTAACTTGGTAGCTAAGTTGGGCTTTCAAATATTCTCTGCCATAAGAAGAGTTTGAGTCTCCAGAGCAAACTGTTCATTCAGAATTGCTTCATATCAGACAGAAAAGAAACAAGGGAGTCTTTTGTGTTTGCAGCATTTTAAGAGCTTTGATTCACAAAGCATTCACAAAACATGGACCAAATGATGTTGATTTCTTGCAAACCCAATTGATCCCACATCAACCCCTTCTCTCATGTGAAGAAGTAAGAAGGGGCACAGGGAAGAGACCTGAGGTGTTCGCTAAAGGAAGCCCCTTTTGGAATCTTGAAGCCAAGGACATGTCTGTACATGATGTGAAAAGACCCAGAGAAACCAGGGATTCGGAAGCCCAGAAAGCTGGTGGTGTGTCCACTGAGACATGTATATGTGCTGGTTTCCTGAATTAGTTGAGAAAACAGCCTAGATAGCCAATGAAGCTGCAGTCATGAAGTGCCTACACGAGGGCTTGAAAACATGGGTTGAAATGTAAAATCATGCATTTTATTCACACAGCAATACATAAAGAGTAACAATCCTCTTGGCTAACATATCCAATGACATTTTTGAAACATGAACAATTACGATTTTCCTTAGTTTACTTGAATATGTGTCAATTTCTTGTTTTTAATGGAAAATGCTGAAGTGTTATATTACAATGTTCAGGCTGAAATAAATGAGGGGTTTTTGTTAACATCATTTAGAAAACTTAGAAAGTACAACCCCACCACACTTCCTATTATAGCTTAAAATGTAGCATGTAGTTGACTGATTTTTCTCATTTCAGGCTCAGCATTCTTCTTAGGTTACAATGAGGGAGAAAATTGAGTTACATTAAAAAGGAACTAGCTCTGAAGACCAGAATTTAAGCGTCAATACAGTCAAGACATCTAACTTCCCTGAAACTCAGTTCCCTCATCACCATCTGTAAAATGGGGCTATTAGAATATCTACCTCCTTGGATTAAAATAAGAATTAAATGGGCAAAAGTGCATAGAAATCTGAAGAACAATAGATATTAAACTGTTTGATAAATGTTTTTTAAAGTAGTCAGCAAGTCATCCTCTGGTAATGTCACCAAACCCTCAGGAGCCAGGAGACACTGGGGAAGTCTGACTTCCTGCTGCTGGAGTTCTCACCTTGGTATGGGTTTGTCTTTGTGAACACAACACATTAACTACCAGTGTTGAATTACAGAAGCACCAAGACTGAGCATTAAAAAGAGTAGGAGAAAAAGTATTTAAAACATTTCTAAGGACTTTCTCTTAAGCCAGGAACTAAGAGCATAAGATTAGAACAAATGCACTCAAGATTTAAGGACAAATGAATGATGGGGTTTTGGGGAGGGAAGTCTTTTCCTGTAGGGATGTGCAGTTAGCCAGTAGCTATATATGTAGGAAACTATCCATTCCAGCCTGATGATATGACATTTTAGCATTTTTTCATTAAATAGTCAAGTATGTATATCAAGTATGCCTGGAGCTAAATGTGTAATGCAAGCTGCAGGATACATGCTGTACAGCCCAAATGTCAAGAATACCAGATAAGAGAAGATCTGAATGAATCATCGTTGCCTGTCTGAAAGTTTCCTGAAATCATTTGTTTACAAGTCAACCTTTTTATAGCTGGAAGTTTGGACAGTGAACAGAGAGAAAACTATTAGATGGCATGACAGCAGCACATTTCTCTAACAAGTTGTCATGGTTCTTGTATCAAAGTACAATTGAACATAATGAATCCTAAGATATATTTCAAGAAAGATGTAATCATAGATACCTACCTTCAAATTGCCAAATATTTTTGCTTTTTAATTTGCATATGCAAATATGTGACTTGCAAATGATTTTGTTGTTACAGATTTTATTTAAATATTATTTGTTACAGATATTATTTAAATTATATACAGGATTTTAAGTTCCTTGAAAGCAGGAATTATATTTTTTTAGCAGTTGCATCCTCTTTCGTATCTGCCTACAATGCCCTGGTAGAATCTCAAAACATATTGAATTCGTATAAATTAATTTAATAAGCTTTTAAGCGTAATAGAAGCCAAATCATTTTTCATATTTTTCTGTATTGTTTAAAAGAAAATGAGATGCAATTATACACATGGAATTTTGCTAAATGTAATTTCTAAATAATAGATATCATCCTTCCTATATGGTGCTCCTTGAGAGTGAGTTTGACACAACCAATGAGGCAGGTTGATGGTTTTGGGTCCCTAGAAAACCATTTCGGGTGTTGCAGGAGAGCTTGGAAGTTCCCAACACTATATCCAATATTTCAGCCTTGCTCTCCTTGGCACTGCCCACTTCCTCTGCCTATCTCATGCTTTCCTAAATATGGAGAGGATTACTATTGAGTAGTTGTCTGGTTTCTCCATTAGAAAGGACAATGCAGCTGGGTGCAGTGGCTCATGCCTGTAATCCCAGCACTTTGGGAGGCTGAAGTGGGCAGATCACAAAGTCAAGAGATTGAGACCATCCTGGCCAACGTGGTAGAACCCCAGCCCTACTAAAAATACAAAAATTAGCTGGGTGCAGGGGTGTGTGCCTGTAGTCCCAGATGCTTGGGAGGCTGAGGCACAAGAATCACTTGAATTCAGGAGGAGGAGGTTGCAGTGAACCGAGATCACACCACTGTACTCCAGCCTGGTGACAGAATGAGACTCCACCTCAAAAAAAAAAAAGGACAATGCAGCTCATAAAAGGTGATCAAAATATTGCCTCAAATGAAACAGTTTTAGATGAAAAAGGAAAGAACCACTAACTTTTTCTCTTTGCTTGTCCTCAAAAGTGTCAGATGGACAACTATAGTACTCTAACATTTTACCATTAGAAACAATGCTCCATTCTGCCAGTAATGCAGGGTTTACTGTCTGATGTCACAAAAGAGAATAATTATAATCTACCACCTTGTTTTTCTTCAAGACAAACCAATACTAGAGCTCTGCAGTTGAACCCTGGAAAGCTCTGAAATGAATAGCACACAAAGTGGATTGCCTGGGATCAGAAGTGGGGCTAAGATGGTTTACTGAAAGTTAAGTATTCTTCCTTTTAATTTCCTCTGGGATTTATGAAGGCAAAGCCACCATAAAGTTTTATTTCCCAGGACATTCTCTGAAAACACCAGGCACCAGAGCTAAAGGAATCGCCTCTAGGATTTGTTTGTTGCAGCTTCAACTTGAACTCTCTTCCTCAGCCATAGGTTCACTGCCAGTACCTCGCTCTCATGTCACAATGACCCAAGTTGGAGATTGATAGCCTGAACCTCACTGAGCCAACACAAACAGTTTCCTAAGGAAACTCGTGTATTTATTAACTAGAGAAAAATGAATACCTTTTTTTAACTATGTGTCTCAGAAGCCTGTGAATGCTTTCTATAAGACACAGACAACAGGAGAAAATCCAAGAAGCAAGTAGGAGACTAGAAGATAGGATCTACTCAGAATAGCTAAAATGAGACTGAGAACAATACGGTGCTTTGATTGATACGGTGATTTAAAAATTAAAAGAGGAGAGTCTATCTGTGAGCTGAATGCCAGTTACTAGTGATTGATGGATGGCATGAATCTTCTTCTCTTTGTGGCACTTCAGATAAAATGTGTTTTCTTTCAGAGAGAATCTTTATAAGACAATTGTTCAACTAGGAGGGTGTGTATGTGTGTGTGTGTGTGTGTGTGTGTGTGTGCACGCACATGCCTGCTCACTCACACACCCATGCACACTACAGCATTTTAGAGCAGGGCTCTATATCTAGAATGCAAGGCTGCTCCATGCTCTGCAAACTGTCTGTACGTAGTTTTTGCATAGGTACATACTTTAAAACATCCCTCCTGGATGAACCTTCATTTCCAATTGTATATCTGCACCATGTGGTAGCCAGCATGATTAAAGAAAAAGTGATTGTGTGAACCTCCAAATCCATCTGTCATGTCATTGGCATTGAAGAGCCTCACTGAAAAATTAGCCTCCTCCTTCCCCCAACTTGTGTTTTCCCATCCTCGAGACAATAAGGGAAGCTCTTAGCTGGGAGAGAAGGGAACAAAGGGGCAAGGAATTCAATAAAAAAGAGATCCTAGGCAAAATGAAATATTGTTTCTCTGTATTGCTGTCTTCCTTTCAAGTCCACAGAGCATTAACCAGTTGTCTGCTGCACCATGAGGCAGGATCATTTCTCTGTTTCTCTGCAAAAGACTAAAGCATTTGAAACATCAGGGATGTCCAATGTGATAGTCTGGAACATGAGGCTAAACTGGACACAAAAATGACAGGCAAAATGTGAAAAAATATTTGTAATTCCTATGTCTTTGAAATTTTCCTGTTATACCTGCTTAATTAACTATACATATAGGCTTGAACACATATTGAATTTTTTTCATATTCTCTGTGTACATATGAGGACTTCCTAAAATCTTATACAGAATTTTAGTTATCTATGCATGTGTGCATTTTTCTCTGGGGTGGACCCATAGTGGGCATCAGTTTTTAAAAATAGTTTATGAACCACAAAGTTAAAAAAAATGGCAATAAGGTATGTACTACCTATTTTATGTTCATTTCCTCAATCAGAGACGGTATATTTGCTGTCATTTGGGATTAAGGGTTTGGAGAACATTTTATCTATGAAATATTTACTTGAGCCAAGAGAAAAACAAGAAAACATAAGTAAACTAGAAAAGAGATGCTGAACTACAAGACAAAAAAGAACAGGGTGAAGTCTATTAGATTTATACTTTTTGTTTATTTGATAAGTACGGACTCAGACAAAATATAAAATGCATAGTATATGCATTTGGGGTTTTATTTTAAGCTTTCTAAAAATTTTCTTTTTAAATTCTTCTTATTTTGATTGTTGAGAGGAAAAAAATGTGCATCTTTGGGCTAATGATCTCATTTAAAATTTTTTCAGTTGGTATTAGTTTTTTTTAAGTTAATTAAAATGGGAAAATTATAGAGTTGCACATTTGTTTCAGGTCAGAAGATTTTGATGGAAAAAATTATTAACACAGCTTGCCATAAGCAGGCTGCCTTGCAATCACTAAAATTTTTAATCTGTGTGCATTCATCTTAACCTGAATGTTTTCTAAAAGTTAAACAAATAAGAATTAATGGATATATTTTAGAATTGAGTATATTAGTTACAATAAACCTAAAAGCTGTTGGGGCAAGAAAGATACTCTTAAGTATTGAGATTAAAGAGAAGAAGGTCTTTCTTTCATCAAGAACTAAACCCTAACATTGATTCCTCATTGTGAAAGTAAAACATTGATTCCTCATTGTGAAAGTATGTGAAATAAGCACAAAGAGACTAAAAACAGCCCCTTATGATCAAAATACTCAAAAACCTAGAAATAGGGGAAACTTTCACAGTGTGATAAAGGGCATCCGTAAAAAACCAATACTTAGTTTGAAACATGAAAAATGTTCTCCATAAGAACAAGACATGGATGATTACCCTTGCCACTTCTATTTAACATTGCACTGGAGGTTCTAGCCAGGGCCACTTAGTCAGAAGAAGAAATAAAAACCATCCACATTAGAAAGGAAAACATAAAGATATCTCTATTCACATAGAATCTTGTATGTAGAAAATCCTAATTAATTTGTATTTTTAAAAACTATTGGAGCTAATAAATGAATTAAGTAAGGTTGAAGGGTACAAAATCAATACAGAAAAATTAATTTTATTTCTTAAAGTAGCAATGAACAAACCAAAAATGAAAATAAGAAAACAATTCCACTTATAATAGCATCAAAAGAATAAAATGTTTAGAAATAAATTTAACCAAAGTACTGTAATGCTCGTACTCTGAAAACTACAAAACAAGACCTAAATATTTAGAAATACATCCCATGTTCATGGATCAGAAAGCATAATATTCTTAAAATGGCAGTATGCTCCAAACTGATCTTTAGATTCAACATAATGCTTATCAAAATTCAAGTTTGGCTTCTTTTTTTTTTTTTTGGCAGAAACTGACAAGCTGATTCTAAAATTAATATGGAAATGAAAAGGGCACAGAATAGTCAGAAAAACAAAGTTGGAAGATTTGCACTTCCTTATTTCAAAACTTACTATAGGCCAGGTGTAGTGGCTCACTCCTGTAATCTCAGCACTTTGGGAGGCTGAGGCAGGAGAATCACTTGAGCCTAGGAGTTCAAGACTACCCTGGGTAGTGTTACCCCATCTCTCCAAAAATAATTAGAAATAAATTAGCTGGGCATGGTTGCTCATGCCTATAGTCCCAGACATTTGAGAGACTGGAGGTGGGAAGATCGCTTCAGCTTAGGAGGTCAGGGCTGCAATGAGCTATAATCACACCATAGCACTCCAGCTCGGGTAACAGAGCAAGACCCTATCTCAAAAAAAGAAGTACAATAAAGTTGTAATAAACAATATAGTGTGACACTAGCATAACAACAAGCACATAGGTCAATGCAATAGAACTGAGAATTCAAAAATAAATTCCTACATTTATAGTCAATTGATTTTCAACAAGCATTCCAAGAGAATTCAATCAGGAAAAGAATAATGTCTTCAACAAATGGTGTGTGAACTACTGGATATCCACCTACAAAGAATGAAGTTGAAGCCATACCTCACATCATATACAAAAATTAACTTGAAAGAATCATAGACCTAAATGTAAGAGCTAAAGCTAAAACTCTTAGAAAAAAGAGAGGTAGAAATCTTCATGACCTTGCTTAGGCAATGATTTCTTAGATATGGCAACAAAAGCACAGACAACAAGAGCAACAGAAAAGTATGTGAATTGAACTTCATCACAGTTAAAAACATTTTTGCATTAAAGAACTCTATCAAGAAGGTCAAAAGAAAATCCATAGAATGGGTGAAAATATTTGAAAATCATATATCCAATAAAAATCTAGTATCCAGTTCATAACAACTCATCAACATAAAGACAGCCAATTAGGCAAAGGACTTGAACAGACATTTCTCCAAAGAAGATATATAAATGGCCAATAACCGCAATAAAAAAACCTCTAAGTCATTAGTCATTAGGGAAATGTGAGTTAAAACCATAATAAGACTTCACCACTTCACACCCGTTAGGTTGGCTAAATTAAAAAGACAGACAACAACACATGTTGGTAAGGATGTGGAGAAATTGGAAAACTCATACATAGCAGGTGGGATTGTAAAATGCTGCAGCCACTTTGGAAAAGAGTTTGGGGCAGTTACTCAAGATGTTAAACATAGAATTACCACACAACCCAGAAATCCTACTACGTATATATCAAAGAGGATTGAAAACTTATGTACCCAGAAAAACACGTTTATAAACGTGTGCGTACACGTTCATAATTCATAGTAGCCAAAAATGGAATCAACACAAACATCCAGCAAATGGTTAAAAAAAACATGCTATATATGCATTCAATGGGTTATTTGACCATAAAAAGGAGTTTAATACTGATGGTCTACAACTTAAATGAACCTGGAAGCATTATGCTAAGTGAAAGAAACCTGTCACAAAATATTATATTGTATGGTTTTATTTGTATGAAATGTTCAGAACAGGCAAGTGCTTAGAGACAGAAAAAGATTATTGGTTTCCAGGGACTAGGGAGAGGGGAAATATAGAATGACTGCTAACAGGTACAGGTTTCTCTTTGGAATGATAAAATTGTTCTGAAATTAGATTTGGTGGTGATTGCACAACTCTATGAATACACTAACAACTACTAAATTGTATATTTTTTAAAAAGATAGAGTCCACAAAGTCGCAGGTAGCTGTATTATAACCCAATCAAAGATATTAAGGTTTTAGCATCTTAAAAACGAACACACTGGTTGTGAAAGTCAGTATGTTAAATGGAAGCCATCTGTGGTAGGTTGAATTAAATGAAGATTATCTAATTCTTCATTTCCTTGGGTAATTGGAATATAAGGTCAAGCTATATAAAATTTTCATTTTTGATTAAGTAAAAATGGTCAAATATCAGCAGTTCCCTGTAGTTTCACCTTACATTCCCATGCCTTTTGTCAGTAACTTTGCATTCTTCCTCATGCCGTTGATGTTGGGCTTGACATGTGACTTGATTTGGTAAATGGAATGTTAGTAAATGTTGTGAGCAGAGACTTGAAATATGCTTGTGTGATTTGGCTTGTGCACCAACCCTTCACCATGAGGACATTCCCTGGATGGTGAGGAGTCCAAGGAGGATGAAATACCGAAATACATTGGGAATAGATGTGGAGTTAGCCAACAGCCTGCAGCTAAGCCCAACAGACCTGCAGCCTAAAAAAAAAAATCTCCCAGCCCACAAAACTGCACTACAATCTACTTGCAGACTGGTGAACACGAAAACCGTTATTTTAATTGTAAGCCATTGAGATTTTGAAGTTGTTAACTAACCAGTATGTCGTCTATGCAGTGAACTAGAGAGAGCAACTGAAATAAGAGTAGACGGTGTCTGTTCGCCAATATTCAAAAGAAATGGATTTCAACAGAAGAATTTCCTGGACTCTGAAAAGAAGAGAGACAGATGGGCAGAGTGCACTGGTAGCGGCAGACACCTCAAGCAGTAGACAACAGCTTAAAGACTGGCCTTGGAGATTTGATTGAGTATCACACTAAAGGGAAAGCTGAAAAATATCAATTTTTAACACTTCTCAATTTTGACCAAGGTCTGTGTTGCAGCCTGAGCTTTAATCTACATTCTCATAAATAATGGGGAAATCAAGGAAAGAAAGTTTGATTACGAGCAAGGGCATGGGGTTAGTTATGATTATAACATGCTGAGGAGCAAACACTTGGATTCTATATTGCTTTTTTTTTTCACTCTAAATTTTATGCTAAGTGTTTCTCACTTGTGCAAGTCCTGGAGTTGAAAACAGAGTTTCAGAAATGAAACCACAATTAATTGAAGTTGTTGGAAAATGTATAATCAAGGACTCATGCATTTATTTATGTCAACAATTCCAAAGAAAATTGCTACTAAGTTTTACCAACTGTCATCCACTTGTCCTCTTTCATATCCTGGGTTAAATTATGACAATAATATCCTTCAGTCTCCCTCATCATAACAGTAGCTGCTGTTTATTAAATGCTTACTATGTACCAAGGACTCTGCAAGATACTTTTTAGATATTGTATCTAATTCTCACAATGACATTGAAAGACAAATTTTATTACCCCCATTTTAGAGGTGAAGAAACTGGGACCCTGAAAGATTGGGTAATTTCATCCTTAATGTCAGATAGTTAATAACAGGGGTTGCTATAATTTGAACGTAGGTCTAACTATAATCCTATTTGATGTTGAGCAAACATCAGTTTAAGCTGGAGGTTTAATTAGTGAAATAAAAATATTCTGTCCAGGGAGACTTAACTACTGGCATAGAAAAAGAACCTTATTATAAAGTAGTCTCAGTTATCCCATCCATCTAGCAATCTATCTAAATCTAAAACAGAGACTCGAGAAAAGTGACAAGAAAGTGCCAATTTGAATCAGATTTTATATATTTTCTTTTGTCTGAATATTTAATTCATTTTCAGGGTAGTTATTTCTCTTGTCCTTATCATGTGTTCATCATAGACCCTTGGTTCAGTCCAGAATGGAATTGTTTTTGAAGAAGCATAGTCTATATAAAAAAAATCCAATCTTTGCCTATATCTCTGAAAAATATAGTTATGGAATATGAATATGGAATCCTTAACAGCTCTTAAAAATTCTGTGTCTCCTGGGCGCTCTTCGCTCTCCTTCTCTCCTATTTCCCTCCCTGCCCTCCAACCCCTTTCATCAGATTTGGGTCCTGACAGTCTATAGACAGCCTCTCCTACCTCCACATTTCCATACAGTTCCCTGAGCACTTGCTGACCCTCAGCCTATTCAGCCCCATAGGAAATTTAGTACCTCTCTTGATTAACAGCTTTGTGCAAGAGCCTCCTCTGAAGCTTTGGTCTATTCTAACTCTTCTTTTTCCTCTTCTCTTATTTCATTAAACCTCACAAAGTTCCAAAAGATCTAGCTGGCCCAGAACTCTCTTCAGAAAGGTAAGGGTAGCTGGATGGGCAACACCAGAATACTCTATCTCTGGCAAAGAGTTTAGGGAAGAAAACCAAAAGGCTGACACTTCCCTAATCCCCATGGTAATGCTATTTGCTCATCACATGCTGTGTTAGTTTCTTACTGCTGCTGTGATAAATACCTTCAATTTAGTAGTTTAAACAACAGAAATGTATTATCTAGTAGCTCTGTAGGTCAGAAGACCTACATGGGTTTCACTGGTCTAAAAATCATGATGTTGATATGCTGCCTTGCCTTCTGGAGGCTGTGAGGAAGAATACACTTCCTTGCTTATTGGTGCTATGGACAGAACTCAGTTCATTGCAGTTGTAAGACTGAGATTTGCTGGCTCCCAGACAAGGGCCACTCTGAAGGCTGCCACATTCCTGAGCTCATAGCCCCTTTCTTCCATCTTAAAAGGCAGCAACTGGAAGGTCAACTCCCTCTCTTGCTTTGAATTCTTCCTCTTCTTCCATCTCATCTCTCTATGCCATTTGGAAAGATTATCTGCCTTTAAGAACTCATGTGATTAAATTGAGCTCACCCCAATAATCTCCTCGTCTCCAGATCCATACTTTTTGTTTTACATGACAGTCTCCTTTGACCTAGTCTATAGCCCCAGCACATAGATGATTCCTGTAGAAAGATCAAATACATAGGAAAGTCATAAGATAACCATGCTTTTGACCTGCCCACCAAATGTTTTAGTTAAGCTGCATATATTTGAATGTTTTCAATTAAGTCATACAAGAAAAGATACAAATTAGAAAACATATTTTCTTAGAAAAAAACAACTTAATAGTAAGTATCTGGAATCAAAAATAGAAAGCTAAAGCTCGGTTTATGTTTTTATTAGGCCACCTTTCTATAAGATTTGGTGGTGTTTTTTTTTTCCCAACAAGTTCTCTTCACAATGCTTTTCCAAAAAAATCACATTTTCCTACAACATCCTCTCTAAATGTCCTGAATTGGCTGGATTGAGATAATTCAAGAGTCCTCTGTCATCATCACACCAGAATATCACATTTTGCTTTATCTCGTCTGCTAAAGATGGGGGTAGAAAACACTCCTGTTTATGTGATTACTTTTCAGAGTAGCTACTGCTGATGCATTACGCTCTCCAGGAATATTAGAAGCCCAGATGATAACAGGTAATTGCCACATGCAGAAACCAAGCAGGAAACACACACGGAGGCTGCCAGCAGCAACTATGATTAAATTATCAATGATAAACAGGTCAACAGAAAAAATATAAAGCAAACTGGAGCACCAAAGCCAGGCAACATATCACCACAGAATCGAAAGATACTAAGAAGGAAAGCGCATTGGAATACGAGGTGCAAGGATGAGCCAAAAATCTTTATGTAATGTAGGAGAGTCTGGAGTCTCTCTAAGACCTTTGTCAAAATAAATATGTCTCATAGACCTGGCAATAGATGGAATGAAATGCTACAGTGCATGTCATGTTATAGGGATTCACACTTTAGTGCATTTTGTGCTGTTCTTTGTTTTGCATTTTTATCCCACCTGCCAGGACTTTGTATTTATGCTTTTTCTTTTTCTTCAGCAGAGAGCAGAAAAGTCATGATGGGTAGTTGATAAAAATGTGGGGCTAAATTTACATAGTCATTCAGTGACTGTCATGTACCGTGACGCTTGTGGAGTACAATTAAGAGAGTCTCTAATTTGAATAAAAATCTGTTCTTTCAGTTTCATGTCATATACGATATCGCTACAAGCTCATCTACATAGCCTATTATAATGCACACTTTTATACAACTATAGCCTTCACCCTAATCAGTCCTCTACAAGCTAATCAGCTCAAATACTGTCACAAGTGGTATAATGCATGCAATTATCCTTAATTCAACTTCTAAACATGGAGGTGAAAGATCAGATTTAACCAAACAGGCTTATCAGGAATTCATGAATTGATAATCATGATTAATGGAAAATCACAGTGCAAAACTTGTTTTAATTTACCTGTTCATGTAACTTGCATTACAGAGAAAGGTGAACTTTCATCCACAGCAAACAAAGAACGGCTGGACTATCAAATGCATTTTAGCTCCAGGGTAAGAAAACATGCATTCATTCACTATTTCAAGGATAATCTTTAATGACAGAAATCGGTGTAGCTAAGTAAGGATTACAGCTTTGAAATATCCCGGCCCTGACTCACTGAAAAAGAAATGATTACTCAAAAATGTCATCTCCAGTTATCACTAATAAGTTGGAAGGGGAATTTACGTTGAACAGAATGAATTGAACTGCTTGTCTCTGGAGTTCCTAGGATTTCTACAGAATTGTACTATTCTTGAAAAGGGGTCTTTGAAAATAGCTGCATTAGGGTTTGTGTTCCCCTAAGTTTTAACCACTTACTTGTAAGAGACTCAGAACACTGACCTATAACATATTCGTTTATTGAAATAATATTTACTTAGCAAATATTATATAGAAGAACCTATGCTGGGTATTGGGGGTAGATACCAAGAGTAAAATATGTCTCATCCTTGGGAAACTCGAAGACCACTGATGAAGACTATACAAGGAAACTGAAATAATCAGTGTAACATGATGAGAGTTGAGAAAAGTGCTGACTGGTGTCTTATTTTGTTACTGTTTTGCTACAATAAGATAACCAGGGAGGAGTAAAATGTATACTATCAGGATGTCAGTATTATGTCTCTGAAAGGTTTGGATTTTGCTTCCTGTGTTCCTGGCCACTCAGATTACGCCAGCACTGGAGAAGCTGGGGCGGGTGTCATTTTGATAAAAGCCATTTCAGCTGGGGTGAGATGATATCTCATTATGGTTTTAAATTGAATTTCTCTAGTGAGTAGAGATGTTGACCATTTTTGCATATTCCCATTGACCATTTGTATGTCTTCTTTTTAGAAATGTCTATTCAGATCTTTTGCTTATTTTTAAATTGGATGATTTCTTTTTCCTATTGAGTTGTTTGAGCTCCTTGTATATTTTGGCTATTAATCTATTGTCAGAACGGTCGTTTGCAAGTGTTTTCTGCCATTCTGTGGATTATCATTCACTTTTTTTATGGTTTCCTTTGCTGTGAAGAAGCTTTTTAGCTTGATGTGTATTATTTTGATTGCCTGTGCCTTTGAGGTCTCATACAGAAAGTCTATGCCCAAACCAAAGTGCTGGATCATTTCCCCAGTATTTTCTTCTAGTATGTTCATAGTTTCAGGTCTTAGATTTAAATCTTTAATCCATTTTGAGTCAATTTTTGTATGTAGTGAGATAGGAGTCTAGTTTCATTCTTCTTCGTATGGATATCCAGTTTTCCATTTATTTATTTATTTTTTTTTTTGAGATGGAGTCTTGCTCTGTCACCCAGGCTGGAGTGCAGTGGCATGATCTCAACTCACTGCAATCTCTGCCTCCCAGGTTAAAGCAATTCACCTGCCTCAGCCTCCTAAGTAGCTGGGACTACAGGCGCACACAACGACATCTAAGTTTAGTAATTTTAGTAGAGACAGGGTTTCACCATTTTGGCCAGTCTGGCCTCAAACTCCTGACCTCAAATGATCCTCCTGCCTTGGCCTCCCAAAGTGCTGGGATTACAGCATGAGCCACCATGCCCAGCCTCACCCAGCACCATTTAGTGAAGAGACTATCTTTTCCCCATTGTATGTTCTTGGTGTCTTTACTGAAGAGAAGTTTGCTATGAATGGGTGGGTTTATATATGAGTTCTATATTCAGTTCCATTGGTCTGTGTGTCTGTTTTACACCAGAACAATGCTGATTTGGTTACTGTAACTTTGTAGTAAATTTTGAAGCCAGGTAGCATGGTGCCTCCAGCTTTGTTCTTTTTGCCCAAGATTGCTTTAGCTATTCAGGGTCTTTTGTGGTTCTATATAAAGTTTAGAACTTCTTTCCGACTTCTGTGAAAAGTGAAAACCTTCTGCATTTTCAATGTTGGCAACTAATTCAAAATTTAAAATATTATGTAGGTGAAACAAAATTCATCTGCCATATTTGTTCCATAAACTAGACATTTGCAGTCTCTGGACTATAAGAAATGAAAAATAAAATAGAACCTATGGGAAGTCATAGGAAGTGGGTAGAGAAGTTGAATTTTGAGATGGGGATAGAGGCATAGATGGGACTCCTGATAAGACATGAGTTATCAGAGACAATTGAAAAGATGAATTCCCAGAATTCATACATTTGTTTATCCATTTCTTATTCAACCAATATGTATCAAGTATCTCCTATATGTCAGGCATTATGCTCAAGGTGATGCAGATGTGGATGGCGGAGGAGGGAAATGGTCCCTGCACTCAAAAAAAACTTATAGTCTAGTGGTTTGACACCTGAAAGATTTAAAAATATGCCAGAAAAAAAATTCACAGGGTAAGAGACAGTGCTCAAAGCAGAAGGAACAGCACTTGGAAAGGCCACATCTGAGCATGGCAAGCTGTATCTGCAAAGCCTAAGGAGGTTCTAATGCCTACAGGACAGAGCTCAAGGGGAAGTGGTGAGATGAGGCTAGAGACACTGGCAGGGGCCAGAGCCTGGAAAGCCCCAAGCAGAGCCATGAAGAGGAGTTTGTACTAATCCTAGAGGCAATGGAAAATTCATCAAGGATTTTTAAGCAAGAGACTCAAGGAGGTTGGAATATTTAAAGATAACCCAAGGTTAGCATATAGAACATAAAATGGGAGACCAAATGTGAAGCAGTGGCTGTAATTCAGATGAGAAATATAAGCCAGGTAGAACAGAAGGAAGTAAACCAAGAGAATGGATTTAAGAGACATTTTGGAGATAGAAGAAAGATCAGGCCAGGTGCAGTGGCTCACACCTGTAATCCCAGCACTTTGGGAGGCTGAGGTGGGTGGATCACAAGGTCAAGAGATCGAGACTATCGTGGTCAACGTGGTGAAACCCCTTCTCTACTAAAAATACAAAAATTAGCCGGGCTTGGTGGCACATGCCTGTAGTCCCGGCTACTCAGGAGGCTGAGGCAGGATAATCACTTGAACCCAGGAGGCAGAGGCTGCGGTGAGCCGAGATTGCACCATTGCACTCCAGCCTGGGTAACAAGAGTGAAAGTCCATCTCAAAAAAAAAAGAAGAAGAAGATGAAAGATCAAAGGTAATTGATATGAAGTAGAGAACAGAGGAGATGGAGGATTTAAAGATGGCATCCTCAGAGTTCTGGTTTGGGCACTGGGTGAATGATGGTTCCATTCCCTGAGAAAGTAAACTCTGTGTGTGTGTGTGTGTGTGTGTGTGTGTGTAGTAGTTTAGAGGAAATGATGATTTGTTTTGTCTTGATATGTTAAATTTATGGTGCCAGAAAAACATCCAAGTAGAGACATCTAATGGGCAACAGGTAATTGCTACATGGGCGATGAACTTAAGAGGAGGGTTGCCTTAGAGATTTAGCTTTTGGTGCCATCAGCATGTAGGTGAAAGTAGAGGACATTGTCTATAGAGTTTAAAGGAAGAAGATCAGACTGCCAAGAACAGATTTCTTAAGACTACTAATATTGGCCGGCACAGTGACTCACTCCTGTAATCCCAGCACTTTGGGAGGCCAAGGCAGGCAGATCACAAGGTCAGGAGTTTAAGACCAGATTGGCCAATATGGTGAAACCCCGTCTCTACTAAAAAATACAAAAATTAGCTGGGCATGGTGGCTCATGCCTGTAACTCCAGCTACTTGGGAGGCTGAGGTAGGATAATTGCTTGAACCAGGACCTGGGAGGTGGAGGTTGCAGTGAGTTGAGATCACGTCACTTCACTCCAGCCTGGGCTACAGAGCAAGACTCCATCTCAAAAAAAAAAAGACTACTAATATTTACGGAAGGAATAGAAAAGGAAAAGTTGTAAAGATGTGTGAGAAGAACCAGTCAGAGATATAAAAGAAAAATCAGATAATTGTGTAGCTAGAAGACAAAAGAAGATAATTTTTGAAAAAATAGAGCAAAGCAACAGCTGAAAAAATGTCTTTAAAATTTCACAAGAATTTGGGCAAGATAACTTTCAGTAGCCTGGAGGTTCAAGGATAATGCATATTCTTATCCTTGGTGAAGAAATGGTAACAGCAAATGTAAACAATTCTTTAAAAAGTTTGGTTGTAAGATGCCGAATTGCCAAAATACCCTTGAGCAAAAAGAACAAAGCTGGAGGCATTACACTCTTTGATTTCAAAATATCCTATAAAGGGATTATAATCAAAACAGCATGAAACTGGTAATAAAAACAAACACATCAACCAATGGATAAGGATAGGAAGCCCAGAAATAAATCCACATATTGACAGTCAATTGTGGGGTTTTTGTTTTGTTTTTGAGACAGTTTCACTCTTGTCACCCAGGCTGGAATACAGTGGCATGATTTTGGCTCACTGCAGCTTCCACCTCCCAGTTTCAAGCAATTCTCCTGCCTCAGCCTCCCAGTTAGCTGAGATTACAGGCATGCACCTGGCTAATTTTGTATTTGTAGTAGAGACTGGTTTTCACCATGTTGGCCAGGCTGGTCTCAAACTCCTGACTCTGGTGATTTGCCCGCCTTGGCCTCCCAAAGTGCTGTGATTATAGGTGTGAGCCACTGTACCCAGCCTGATTTTTGACAAAATGCCAAGAACACACAATGAGGAAAGGAAAATATCTTCAATAAATGTTGTTGAAAAGCTAGATATCCACATACAGAAGAATGATATTAGACCTTTGCCTTGAAATTAGACCTTTACACCATATTCAAACATCAGTTCATTATCAATTAAAGACTTAAATGTAAGACCTGAAACTTTAAAACTTCCAGAATAAAACCCAGGGGGAAAGCCCCACTACATTGGTTCAGGCCATGATTTTTTGGTAGGACTCCAAATGCACAGGCAACAAAAGTAAAAAGTAGACAAATTGATGGCATCAAACTAACAAGTTTCTGCGCAGCAAAGGGAACAGTAAAAAAGTGAAGAGACGGCCGGGTGTGGTGGCTCACGCCTGTAATCCCAGCACTTTGGGAGGCCGAGGCGGGTGGATCACGAGGTCGAGAGATCGAGACCATCCTGGTCAACGTTGTGAAACCCCGTCTCTACTAAAAATACAAAAAATTAGCTGGGCATGGTGGTGCGTGCCTGTAATCCCAGCTACTCAGGAGGCTGAGGCAGGAGAATTGCCTGAACCCAGGAGGCGGAGATTGCGGTGAGCCGAGATCGCGCCATTGCACTCCAGCCTGGGTAACAAGAGCGAAACTCCATCTCAAAAAAAAAAAAAAGTGAAGAGACAACCCACAGAATGAGGGAAAATATTTACAAACCATGCATCTAATAAGAAGTTAATACCCAAAATATATAAGGAACCCAAACAACTCAATAGCAAGAAAATAAATATGCCAGTTGAAAAAAATGGCTAAAGGACCTGACTGGCCATTTCTCAAAAGAAGACATACAAATGGCAATAAGAATATAAAAAAATTCTCAGCACCACTAATCATTAGAGAAATCCAAGTTAAAACCACAGCTTTTCGAATGGCATTTTTTTTTTTTTTTTTTTTTTTGAGATGGAGTTTCGCTCTTGTTACCCAGGCTGGAGTGCAGTGGCGCGATCTTGGCTCACCGCAACCTCTGCCTCCTGGGTTCAGGCAATTCTCCTGCCTCAGCCTGCTGAGTAGCTGGGATTACAGGCATGCGCCACCATGCCCAGCTAATTTTTTGTATTTTTAGTAGAGACGGGGTTTCACCACGTTGACCAGGATGGTCTCGATCTCTCGACCTCATGATCCACCGGCCTCAGCCTCCCAAAGTGCTGGGATTACAGGCTTGAGCCACCACGCCCGGCCCTTGAATGGCTTTTACCAAAAAGATGAGCGATAAGGATTAAAGAGGAAGCAGAGAAAAGGGAACCCTTATACACTGTTAGCAAGAATGTAAATTGGTACAGCCACTTGGTAAGCAGTATGGAGGTTCCTCAGAAAACTAAAAATAGAACTACCATGCAATCCAATAATCCTGCTTTTGTATAGACATCCAAAGGAACTGAAATTTATATATTAAAGGGCTATCTGCACTCCTATGAACATTGCAGCATTGTTCACAATAGCCCAGACATGAAGCCAACCTGAAGGTCTATCAGTAGATGAATGGATAAAGAAAATGTGGTACAGGATTAAGATGGCAGACAGGAGGCAGGACTAGCTTGTATATCCCTCTCAGAGCAGCATGTGGAGACTCATATCGTGAACTTTTGCTCCACGAACTACTATAGCAACATACCTAGAAAGCCAAGATAATCCACAGACCCTTTCCTCTGCAGGCTCCCGAGAGGCCAAAAAGCTGTGAGTCTGCTTGCTTTCTCAGCGGGGAGGCTCGTGGTCTGGGACAAGTTCTCAGCCCTGGTCACCGGCTGCCTGGAAATAGACTTGATGCAGTTGGAGGAGCATGGTGGGAGTGAGCCCAGCCATTAGAACTGCAGGAGATGTGGCAGCAGGGTGAGGCCTGTACTGCCAGCTTTACCCCACTTCCCTGGCAACCTGTGTGACTCAGCATAGTCAGCCATAATCTCCCTTGGTAACAAAACTCCATTGGCCTGGGAGCCCCACCCCCAGCCTTCACAGCAGCTACAGCATGCCACGCCCAAGGAGTGTCTGAGCTCAGACACATATATTTCTGCCCCCACCTGGTGGTCTTTCTCTACCCGCCCTGGTTGTTGAAGACAAAAGACATAATCTCTTGGGAATTCTACGGCCTTGCCCACCGCCTGAGAAATCTGAACGTGCTTCTGTAGGGAGGAAGCAAAGTTGCCCTAGGGTCACTTTGCTTCCTCCCTATAGTACCACAGTTGATGCACTCTTGAAAGCACCACCTCCTGGCTGGAGGTTAACCAACACAAAACAAACAAAAATACAACCAAAGACCCTCACAGACTCCACTTCAGTTCCCTGCTGCCTCCACTGGAGAAGGTGCTGGTATCCACAGCTGAAAGACCTGAAAATGGATCACATCACAGGTCTCTTTGCAGACACTCACTAGCACCAGCCCGGAGCCTGGTGACTCCACTGGAGGCTAGACCCAGAAAAGCAAAACCAATCACTGCAGTTCAGCTCTCAGGAAGCCCCATCCCTAGGGGAAGGGGGAGAACACCACATCAAGGGAGCACCCTGTGGAACAAAAGAATCTGAACAGCAGCCCTTGGGTCCCAGATCTTCCCTCTGAAAATCAGAAAAACAATTCTAATAATATGACAAAACAAGGTTCTTTAACACCCCCAAAAGATTACACCAGCCCACCAGCAATAGATCTAAACCAAGACAAACATCTCTGAATTGCCAGAAAAAGATTTCTGATGATTACTAAGTTAATCAAGGAGGCACCAGAGAAAGGTGAAGTACAACTTAAAAACATGATACATGCCGGGCACTGTGGCTCACGCCTATAATCCCAGCACTTTGGAAGCTCAGGCAGATGGATCATGAGGTCAGGAGTTCAAGACCAGCCTGGCCAACATGGTGAAACCCGGTCTCTACTTAAAAAACAAAAATGAGCTGCACATGGTGGCACATGCCTGTAATCCCAGCTACTAAGGAGGCTGAGGCAGGAGAACTGCTTGAACTGGGATCAGGAGGCAGAGGTTGCAGTGAGCTGAGATCGCACCACTGCACTCCAGCCTGGGCTACAGAGCAAGACTCCATCTCAAAAACAGAAACAAAAACAAACAAACAATCCATGATACAGGACATGAAAGGAAAAACCTTCAGTGAAATAGATAGCATTAATAAAAAAGCAATCGCAACTTCTGGAATCACACTTAGAGAAATGCAAAATGCACTGGAAAATCTCAGTGATAGAATCCAACAAGCAACAAACAGAAGAAAGAACTTTTGAGCTTGAAGACAAGGCTTTCAAATTAGTCCGTCAAAGACAAAGAAAAAGGAATTTTTAAAAAATGAGCACGCCGGGTGCAGTGGCTCACACCTGTAATCCCAGCACTTTGGGAGGCTAAGGCGGGTGGATCACCTGAGGTCCGGAGTTTGAGACCAGCCTGGCCAACATGGTGAAACCTTGTCTCTACTGAAAATACAAAAATTAGCTGGGTATGGTGGTGGGCACTTGTAATCCCAGCTACTCAGGAGGCTGAGGAGAGAGAATCGTTGGAATCTGAGAGGCAGATGTTGCAGTGAGCTGAGATTGCACCATTGAACTCCAGCCTGGACAAAAAGAGCAAAATCCTACCTAAAAAAAAAAAAAAAATGAACAAAGCCTCCAAGAAGTTAAGAAGTTTGGAGCTATGTTAAGTGTTCAAATCTAAGAATAACTGGTGTTCCCAAGGAAGAAGAGAAATCTAAAAGTCTGGAAAACATATTGAGGAAATAATCAGCCCTGCTGGAGATCTAGACATCAAAATACAAGAATCTCAAAGAACACCTGAGAAATTTATCACAAAAAGGTCATCACCCAGGCACGTAGTCATCAGGTTATGTAAAGTCAAGATGAAGGGAAGAATATTAAGAGCTGTAAGGCAAAAGCATCAGGTAACCTATAAAGGAAAACCTATCAGAGTAATAGCAGATTTCTCAGCAGAAACTCTACCAGCTAGGAGGGATCGAGGTTCTATTTTTAGCCTTTTTAAACATAACAATTATCAGCCAAGAATTTTGTATCCAGTGAAACTAAGTTCATAAATGAAGGAAAGATATAGTCTTTTCCAGGCAAATAATTGCTGAAACAATTTGCCACTACCAAACCGGCATTACAAGAACTGCTAACAGGAGCTCTAAATCTTGAAACAAATCCTCAAACTACACCAAAATGGAACCTGCTTGAAGCATAAATATCACAGGACCTATATAATAGAACAAAATGGAAAAAAAAAAAAAAACCAAGGCATTCAGCCAACAAATGGCATGATGAATAGAATAGTACCTCATGTCTCAATCCTAATGTTGAATGTAAATGGCCTAAATGCTCCACTTAAAAAGGAACAGAGTGGTAGAACGGATAAATATTTACCAACAGCGTTTCTGCTGTCTTCGGGAGAGTCACCTAATGCAGAAGGACTCATATAAACTTCAAGTAAAAAGGTAGAAAAAAGATTTTCAGTGCAAATGGACATAAAAAGTGAGCAGGGATAGCTGTTCTTATATCAGTAAAAACAACAGATGCTGGAGAGGATGTGAAGAAATAGGAACGCTTTTACACTAGTTGGTGAAATAGGAATGCTTTTATACTATTTGGTGGGAGTGCAAATTAGTTCAACCATTGTGGAAGACAGTGTGGCGATTCCTTAAGGATCTGGAACCAGAAATACCATTTGACCCAGCAATCCCATTACTGGGTATATACCCAAAGGATTATAAATCATTCTACTATAAAGATACATGCACACATATGTTTATTGCAGCACTGTTCACAATAGCAAAGACTTGGAACCAATTCACACGCCCACTAATGATAGTCTGAATAAAGAAAATGTGTTATATATACCCCATGGAATACTATGCAGCCATAAAAAAGGATGAGTTCATGGATAAAGCTGAAAACCATCATTCTCGGCAAACTAACACAGGAACAGAAAACCAAACACCACATGTTCTTATTCATAAGTGGGTGTTGAACAATGAACAATGAGAACACATGGATACAGGGCGTGGAACATAACACACCAGGGCCTGTCAGGTGGTGGGGGCCTAGGGGAGGGATAGCATTAGGAGAAATACCTAATGTAGATGACAGGTTGATGGGTGCAGCAAACCACCACAGCATTTGTATACCTTTGTAACAAATCTGCATGTTCTGCACATGTATCCCAGAACTTAAGTATAATAGTAAAAAAAAAGCCATGAGACATTATAACATAGAGCCAAATTTTAATAAATGATTTTTATTTTAAAAGAGCCTGATGGATATACAATTGGAAAGCCAAAAAATCAAGAAAAAGAAAATGTGAGATACACACACACACACACACACACACACCCCATGGAATATTACTCAGCAATGAAAAAGGAATGAAATATTAATAATGACATTCATAGCAATCTGGGTGGAATTGGACTGTTATTTGAAGTGAAGTACAGAAATGGAAAACCCAGCATCATATGTTCTCACTCATATGTGGGAGCTAAGCTATTAGGATGCAAAGGCATAAGAATGATACATTGGACTTTGGGCACTCAGGGGAAAGGGTCAGAAGCGGGTGAGGGATAAAAGACTTCAAATTGGGTTCAGTGTATACTGCTCAGGTGATGGGTGCAACAAAATCTCAGAAATCACCACTAAAGAACTTATTCATGTAACCAAATACCACCTGTTCCCCCAAAACCTATGGAAATAAAAAATTAAAAGGTAATAAGAATAGCTTTTTTCTTTTTTTTTTTTTTTTTTGAGTTGGGGTCTTGCTCTCTATCCCAGGCTGGAGTGCAATAGCATGATCTCGGCTCACTGCAACCTCCACCTCCTGGGTTCAAGTGATTCTCCTGACTCAGCCTACTGAGTAGCTGTGATTACAGCCAGGCACCACCATGCCCGGCTAATTTTCTATATCTTTAATAGAGACATGGTTTCACCATGTTGGCCAGACTAGTCTTGAACTCCTGACCTTGTGATCTACCTGCCTCAGCCTTCCAAAATAATTTTTTTAAAAAAAGACTACACATTGGGTACTGTGTACACTGCTCGGGTGATGAGTGCACAAAAATCTCAGAAATCACCACTAAAGAACTTACTCATGTAACAAAACACCACCTGTTCCCCCAAAGCCTAGTGAAATAAAGAATAAATTAAAAAAAAGAAAGTGTGGTAAGTATACACAATAGAATACTATTTAGCCTTTAAAAAGGGGGAAATCCTGTCAGTTGTGACAACATTGGTGAATTTCGAGGAAACTATGCTAAATGAAATAAGCCAGGTGCAGAAAAATACCACATGATCTCGCTTATATGTGGAATCTAATAAGGTTGAACTCATGGAAGTAGAGAATAGAACATAGAGCCTGAAATGGGGCATGGAGACCAAGGGAATGAGCTATCCATCAAAAGGTACAACGTTTCACAAACACGGGAGAAAAAGATTTTGAGATCTACTGCACAGCTTCATGACTATTATCAATAATAATGTAGTTTATATTTCAATATAACTAAGAGAGTAAGAGTAAATTTCAAATGTCTCACCATAAGAAATTATAGGGAAGCAAGGTGATGGATACGTTAATTAGCTAGATTTAATCATGTCATCTTGTATACATATATCAAAACATCGTGTTGTATGCCATATATGAATACAATTATGACTTGTCAATCAAAAATAATATTAATAATCAGTTTTTGAAATTACATCTAAAAATGCATAGATTTTTAAAAAGTTTAGTTATGAATACAAAGGGTGAGGTTGCTTGGTCCTTGACTGCAAGGGGCCCTGGTATTAAGGAAAGGGATGTGTGTGTGTGTGTGTGTGTGTGTGTGTGCACGCATGTGTGTGTGGTGGGAAAGAAGAGGATCCTTCCCAGCATTCTGAAGGGAGA